TTTTTTTTTAAGGCAATTGGGGTTAAGTGACTTGCCCAGGGTCACACACAGCCAGTACATGTCAAGTGTTTGGTGTGAGGCCGGATTTGAACTCAGGTCCTCCTGACTTCAGGGCCGGTGCTATATCCACTGTGCCACCTCGCTGCCCCAGCTAATATATTGAGGCTACGGTCTTCTTGCTCTATCCACTGCACTACCTAGCTGCCTTGGTAAGTCACATCTCAATCTTCTCTCTGGTGTTTCTAGAGCAGAAGGCACATTTGTCATTGGGAAGTGTTCTTGGCAAGGAAGAAGGGATATGCTAACGTGGGGCCATCCAAGTCACAGCTTAGGAGCTGCTATCAGAGCTCCCACTAGAGCTGGAAGCCCAGGGTATGGAGAGGAGCTACCTTCAACATAATCTTGTATGTGCTGGGCTGTACGGCAAGCACCTGTATCATATCAGTGTGGGAAGTTCTGATGGGGAAATTCCCATGACCAAGGCTGATTGGAGCCTATCTATAACTTTTGGAGGACAGCCCGAGGCTCAGAGAGGTCATGGGAGCTGCCCAAGGTCACACGGCTAACAAATGTCAGAAGCAAGATTCACGCCCTGGTCTTCCCAATCTCAAGTTTAGCCCTTTCTTCCCTCTATCCTCCAGGATCATATTCCATTCCTTTTCCCAAAGTAGGTCATAGCAGGACAGGCCTAGGCTAGCAAAGTTGGAGGTGAGATGCTATATATTTTGGAATAAAACTGGTTGAACATAATTATGAGCAAACTGGGCTTGGCTCGTCCTCACCTGAACATTCATTAAGAGTCATACTCGTACTGAATAGGGATAAGCGTAAGTCTCATTTAAACTTCTCTTAGGGAGAAGCATACATCAGAGATCAGTGTAAAACACTAACAGTTTTCCAAGGTTATGTTTGAAAACTCTCCGGGCCCCAAGGAAATAAATATTGGAAACTGGGATCTGGATAAGCTTAGACTTCCCTTTTCCCAAATTTCTTTAGTATCTACTTAGCATCATTTGCTCTAGGTTATTTGAGTTACCTGATTGCTATATTGGCAGAGAAGACAATCTGCTTGTTTCCTCTCCAATCAATCCTCATGAGCCTGGTGGCTCCAAAATAAAGAAGAAACTGAATTAACTATGGTTGGGTAAATTTTCCTTGACTTTTGACAATGCAGACTGAGAATTATAACAACCAACACTTTTCTAGCACACCAAATGTGTGATTTACAATGTTATTTCACCCAATGCTCATAACCACTCTTGGGAGGTAGGTGCTGTTATTTACCTCCATTTAACAGACGAGGAAACTGAGTCCTAGAGAAACTAAGTGACTTATTCAGCTTGAAAGTAGCTGAGACAAGGTTGGAACTTCCCCCAGTTTTATCTACCATGCCACCTGGCTGCCCCTCCCAAGACAAAGCCTCATCAAGTCTATCTGTCTCTCTCCCTCTTTTAAATTAAACTCAACCTCCATCCACAAACACAAATATGTAACTACACACACAAGAACAAGGGGTTGTGAGTTTCTGGTTCTTGTTTATGCATTAAATATTATGTTTGCCAGTGGATGCTGAAGTTATAACTAATGATTGATTGATTGATCGAATGTCCTCAAATGTAAGGCAGAAAAAAAAAATCATCCAGTCATGTAGTTAGAGCGAAGGAGAGCAGCTGAACTGTCTCTATATTCCACTGACATCCTACAATGTCAACAGAATATAAGGAAGGCTACCAGCACATGAGGATGGACTCCATATGAACAACTTCCATGAGAAAGTGAGTGAGAATCACAAAGGACAGGTTTACCTCACTAAGACACCTGTCCTATTTAAGTCTTTTCATCTCCCTAGTAAAGGCAGTGTTAGTTCCAGCTGCTAAGTCCTTTAGAACAAAGGTCAGAGGTACTCCTAGATAAGTAAGGACTCTCTGGAGAAATGGCACTGAGTCCTTGTTATTCCAGTGTGGTTGAGTTGCCTTGGCCACATTGGCTCCCTACACGTGTATTTCATTAGCACTTCCCTTCAAATCTGTGCTCACTCTCACCCGCCACAGATTGTCTATAATTGTGAGAAAGTGTGGTTTTGAGGGGTATGTATGTTTTATAACTATTGTTCTTTTCAAACCTTTTGAGTAAATGTCTTTTCTAAAGACCCAGTTGAGTATACTGGCTGATTGTTAACAGGAAGAACACCAATGTGGGCTTGTGAGCTACAGTGTTAGAAGCAGTCACCCATAAGGTTATTTTTAGGACCTGAAGAAGCAGTCCTTCTGGGGACTCAACCAGCCAATGTCAGTTGGAGGAAGCGAGCCCAGGGGGTGCTACATGTAGATATGGACTCTGCTTTCTCTCCTCCCATTCTTATCATTCAACCAAAACTCTCCAAAGCCACCAAGGATCCCTCAACGGCCAAAGCCAGTGACCTTTTCTCAATTCTCTCTGCAGCCTTGTACACTGTCAACCACTCTCTTTTCCTTGATACTCTTTTCTTTCTAAGTTTTCATGACATCCTCTCTCCTGGTTCTCCAAACTCGGTCTCCCTTGCTGGATTTTCATCCTAGACCAGAGCATTCCATCTCTTAGCTCTGGGCATTTTCACTGTCTGTCCTTCATGTTTGGACACTCTCCCTCTTCATCACTGCCTCTTGCCTTCCTTCAGTCCCCAAAGTCCCACCATTTACAAGAAGCCTGTTCTGATCCCTCCTAATTCTAGTGCTTTCTCTGCTAATTATTTCCCATTTAATTCTGTCCATAACTGGTTTCTCCATGTTTGTCTCCTTCATTCCACTGTCAGGTCCTAGAGAGCAGGGACTGTCTTTTGCCTTTCTTTGCATCCCCAGAGCTAGCATAGTGCCTGACTGTGATGATCATTCTGATACCCCCTATTCAAATTAATCAGCATTTACTCAGTTTATTGTGATTTGTTGAGGTGATTGTATTAGTGAATTAAGCAGAATAGGATTAAGGTTTAGTTAGGTATGTTAATGCTATTAGGATAAGAGTTATGAATGATTAATCTGCCATGTATTGATTACTTGTTTTTGATTTATTAGCTAAGTTCATATTAGTTAGAAATTGTAATTGCTTCACTCCAACCCCCTCCACTGTAAAACATGCTGTAATAAGGTTCATTGCTGGTGCAATACTCCCTCACCCTTAAGAATCACTACTGTCCACTCCCTAGTGACCTTTGCTTTAAACCCACAACTTCCTTGGACCCTAGGATACTGTTGGTCAAACACTAGGGTCTTATGGCTTCAAGAAAGCCCTGAGATATTGTAGGAAGGGTCTTATGAGTGTTAGAAAGCCCCAGCTGAGATGACCTGGAGCTGATGACCTGCTGTGACAAAGTAGTCATGACTGATGGACATTTCCCTTAGCCGATCGTAAGATTTCCCCAACTTGTGGAATTGACCAATCAGTGAAGTGTAATGTCTCCTTACATTTTTCATGCTCTCCAAAGTGTATAAAAGTAGTTAGCCCCAAGGGAGAGGGAGGTCCCTGATAGGGAGGAAGATCTTGGACCCAATTCATTAAGGACCCCCAGACGCCATAATAAATTGATTAATCATGTTTGGAGTTTTTTTTTTCCTTTTGGCTAGGCAATGGGGTTAAGTGACTTGCCCGGGGTCACACAGCTAGTATGCGTTATGTGTCTGAGGTCGGATTTGAACTCAGGTCCTCTTGAATCCAGGGCCGGTGCTCTATCCACTGTCATGTTTGGAGTTCTTAAGTGACTTTTGTTACAGACTGGAATTTTATAGCCCACAAGGCTCATAATAGGTGCTTAATAAATATTACTGACTGACTTACTCCATGTTCAAACAATTCTTCCATGTGATGGACTTCAAATATATGAAGACAACCATCATGTCTCCCTAAGGCTTCTGCAGGCTACCTAACCTCAGGCTATGGGAAAGAAGGGAAGAGAATGAGCATTCATTAAGTCCCTGCTGTGTGCCAAGGTACTGTGTTAAGCCCTTTACAAAAACTACCCCATTTGATCCTGGAAATATCCCTGGGTGGTAGGTGCCATTGTGGTCCACATTTTACAGTTGAGTAAACTGAGGCAGACTGAGATTAAGTGACTTGCCCAAGGTCATATAGCTAGTAAGTTTCTGAGGCTGGATTTTGGATTCTTAATGAATCATAGGATCCTGGATCTAGGCAGGCAGCTAGGTGTCAAAGCAGATAGAGTGCTGGGCCTGGAGTCAGGAAGACCTGAGTTCAAATCTGGCCTCACACACTCACTAGCTGTGTGATTCTGGGCAAGTCACTTAACCCTATTTGCCTCAGTTTCCTCATCTGTAAATAAGCTGGAGAAAGAAATGGCAAACCACTCAATATTTTTGCCAAGAAAATTCGAAAAGGGGTTTTCATGACTGAAAATACTGAACAATAAATCATGAACATTAAACCAAGAAATAACATTAAGATTAACAGAAGGTGGGAGGTTCCATCAAAATCTCAAGTCACTAAGAGGCAGCTCAGATCAAATACCCTTTTTGGCATTTACTAGCAATTCACTTTACCACATTGGTAAAATGTGAATAAAACCCCCCAGAGTACACACCTCACAGAGTTACTGGGAAGATCAGGCAGGAATGTTTTCCCAGTGATTTGCTGGGGATATAAATCTGAAAGTAAAAAAGTTTCTGCCCCCAAAGAGCTTACATTTGTAACAGAAGAAACAGCATGGCGGGGCAGGGATGCCCAGGCAGGAGCATTTTGGTCTGGGGGCAGGCCTTTGACCAGCCCTTTCCAGATACAGCAGTGGTGGGGACTTGATTGCAGTCTTAGAGCCAGAGGTAGAAGGGGGAGGAGGGTTAAGATGAAGGCATGAGGTTCAAAGGACTGCAGGGTCTGGGGGCTTAGCTCTTCCCAGGCAGGGTCTCTGGAGGTCTGATGGGAGGGTGGAGCAACCCAAAGGGGCCAGGGCCCTGGACAAGTCTCACATCAAGGGAGGTATGAGTGAGGGTCACTGAGATACTGATGCAGAGGGATGATGAAATTAAAATGCTTTATTCTGAATGTTGTTCATGTTTCAAAGATGCGCCTCAAGGCGGTGTGATTTATTTCCTTATTTTTTTTAAGTCCTTTTTCCATTCTGTATCCAGGGCCACACAATCTGGCCTCCCCACAGGAGCCCCTGAAATGGTTGAGTGGTGGTCTCAGGGGCCAGGTGTTGGTTTCACTGCAGGAGAACTCCAGTGCCCCTGCACATTCAGCCATCTTCTCCACAGGATCAGGTGTTCCTTGATGGCAGAAGAGGGCACCACTGGGCAAAGGAAGGTCCAGGGCTGGCCAGCTCCTCCACTGCCACCCTCCTAGCCGGCCTTATGGGCCTGTCCTTGGTTCCACTCTCAGGGTTGCGAAGCACCACACCAGCTGGATTCCCAGGCAGGCCTGCAGAGGCCTCAGGCCGGCTTTGTGGCCTCTGCAGGGAGCGAGGGAGGGCCCAGGCTCTCAGCCCTGGCCTTTCATGCATCATCAGACCCTGTGTTTCTCACAGGGAATTCTCCTATTGGCAGTAAAAGATCAAGGTGATTGTTCCCAGATTTAACACAATTGAAAGAGCTACCACCCTAAATCACAGAGGCGATTTTAAATTACATCACTGCTAATCCTCAAGCTTCCCAATTCCTCCCACTATGGCGCTGCTGCTGCTGCTGCTGCTGCTGGTGGCAGAGACCTAGCGCTTTAACTCCATCTTCGCCACCGTGGTCCTGTGAACCTCGTCAGGTCCGTCTGCAAGACGGAGAGCTCTGGCCCAGGAAAAAAACTGGGCCAGGGGAGTGTCACTGTTTAGTCCTGCAGCTCCAAAGGCCTGAAACACAGAGCAGGAAGTGAGAGGGGCCCCTCCAGTAAAGCACAGGACAGATCTCCCTGACGGGCTAATTGTGATCATTAGACACATGAGCAAACTGAGGCCTAGAAGTGAAATGACCCCCCCCCAAAGTCACCCAGGGGCCAAATGGGGTCAGCAACGGGCAGAGCAGCAACAGGACCTGAGGGCCTGCCACTCAAGCCCATCACACCAAATTCGGTGTCTTTGGTGAATCCCACATGATCGAATTCTGGGACTGAGACTAGAAAGGGTCCCCACTCCAGGGACACTGATGACAGCACTGCCTTCGCTAAGCAACCTCACATGATAAACTATCACCGAGAAAAGTGCCCTTTCTCCAGCTCAGTGGTGATGGAGGATATCTGGGGGAGGCCTTAGACCTGGGAAGAGTTCTACTGCTCACTGACCTTGACATACGTGAAAGGGATATATGCTCTTGGGTAGGAAGCCTCAGAGGTCTCTTTTAGCCCCAAATCTACAATTTAGAATTATATCCCTATAATTGGGGACACTGCTAAGGGGAAAAAAATCAAAGACCTTCCTTCATTTTTGCTTTCAAAGCCAACTATTCCAGGTTTAAGCCCACAGATCAATCCTCTGTGCTCCATCCACACTCACCTGAATAGCGCGGTCAATCACTCGCAGGGCCATGGTGGGGGCTACCATTTTGATCATGGCAATGTCTAAAGCAGCTGCCTGGACAAATCAAAGGAAGCCGAGGATGGTGTGGTGAGTGGCCAGGAGACAGAACCCTGGAAACCACAGCAGCTGAACTAGAACCCCAGACCAGTGGAGGGAGAGGCAGGATTGGCCTTTCAGTGGCTCCCTATTACTTCAAGAATATACAAAGCTGGGGTAGCTACGTGGCACAGTGGATAGAGCACTGGCTCTGGATTCAGGAGGACCTGAGTTCAAATCTGGCCTCAGACACATAACACTTACTAGCTGTGTGACCCTGGGCAAGTCACATAACCCCATTGCCTAAAAAAACCAAAACCAAAACAAACAAACAAACAAAAAAGAATATACAAAGCTCTCTTTGGCATGCCCTCCAGCTTACCAATGTCCTTCCTACCACCAAGGTGCCCAGAACTGAATACAGTGCCACAAATGAGGTCTGACAAAGGCAGAAGACAGTGGGGCTCTCATCTCCCTGCACTTCCCAGAAGCTGGGTCCCTTGAAATGCAGCCCCTGCTTTCTTAGCCACCACATCACAACACTGACTCATATGGAGCTTGTGGTCCACTGAAACCCCCAGAGCTTTTTTGGAACCACTGCTGACTGATTATGCTTCACTCTTCTTATACTGGTGAACTTGATTTTTTTTTTGTGCCCAAGTGTATGATTTTATTCTTATCCCCATCAAATTCAGACCAAAAACTGGCCCACCAGGATCAGTAGGTCAGATTTAGATTTTGGCTTCTAGAGATGAAGCTCGCACCTTGTTTCCTGCTACGTCCATGAGGTGGGCCGCCTTCAACACGAGCAGTCTTGCCTGATCAATGTCAGCTCGGGATTTGGCAATGTTGGCCAAAATGGTGCCCTGCTCCACCAGAGGCTTCCCAAACGCTACTCGGGATTTCACCTGCAACGTAGGGACCAAAAGCCTTTGAGGAGATGGCTCAGGCTCCATCACACACATGGTATTCTAACCTCTCCCGGGCCATTGAAGATGGGAAGAGGTCGTGCAAGGACTGAAAGAAGGAGGGCCAATGGTGCACTCAGGGGCACGGGCAGGAGAGCCACGCCCGGTTTCAACTCTGCCAGATGCTGGCCCAAGGCACTTTGGAGGGGCTAGTGACTTACAGGGCACAGCCACCCTGGCCAGACACATGGCGCTGCCCCCCGCTTTGGCTTCTGCCACCTCAAAGCAAGGAATGCGGCAGCAATCTCCAACACGTAGGTGGCCGATCCAGGCCAGGAGCAGGGAAGAGCAACGTGTCCCCTTATGCTGGGGGGAGGGAGAGCCTCGGCCCCATCTCAGCATTAGCTCAGCTCTTTGCAGAAATGGTACCAAGGGAGGAAGTGGGGAAGAGCTCAGGAGCAGGGGTCTAGACCTGCTGCAAAGGCTTTGAGCCAGGTGACGAGAGAAGAGGGCCACCCAGTGAATGCAGAGGGTCAGTCACTCCGTGCCTGAGTGTGTGTGCATCTATGTATCTATGTAAATGTATGTTATCTCTATGTATGTCTCTGTATGTGTATGGATGGATGTGTGCGTCTGTGAGTATGTGTGAGTGTATGTGTATCTGTGTCTGTGTGTATGTGTGTGTGAGTGTGGTGTGTTGTTTTTGTGTGTATGTGTGTGTGAGTGTATATGTATATGTGTGAGTGCATGTTTATCTATGTACATGTGTGAGTGTATCTGTGTGTGTTTGAGCATATATGTACGTGAGCACATGTGAGTACATGTATATATGTGTGTCTGTGTGTTAGTATATATGAATGTGTCTGTGCGTGAGTGTATGCTTGTATGTGTCTGTGAGTGTATGTATGTGAGTACGCATGTGTGTCTCTGTGTGGTAGAGTGTGTTTGTGTGTCTGTATATGTATATGTGTGTGTAAGTGTGTATGTATGAGTATTTTTGTATGTATGCATGTTTCTATGTGAGTATATATGTATGAGTGTGTATATGTGTGTCTATATATGTATATGTGTGTGTATGTGTGTGTGTCTGTGATACAGAAGCTACTAAAGCCTAAAGCCCCACTGAGGCCCACCTCCAGGCTGACTGGTCGCTCAAGGCTGTATGTTACTTGAGTGGAAGCTTCTTCCTAAGAAATCAGGTTAGAGGTCCTGGGAGCTATGGAGAAAGGCCTCATGGGGCTGTAGAAAGAACCCTGGACCAGAAACATGGGATCCTCGCTAGACTCATAACTGGAAGGGACCTTGGAGAGCCCCATTTCACAGAGGAGGAAACTGAGGCCCAGAGTGTGCCCTGCAAGGACACAGAAGAGCAAGTGGCAGAACCAGTATTTAATTAATCCTGGCCCTCTGACTCTGAGCCAGAATCCTTTTTTAACCAGCCCCCTTGGCCTCCTTGGCAGCCACCAGCCTGGCTAGTTATGTAATCTGGGCAAGTCCCTTCCCTGATATGGGTTCTGGTTTCCTCAGCTGTGGGAGGAGGGGGCAGGATTCCATGTCTGCCCAAGCCCTTTCCAGCTCTGACATTCTAGACTCCTCTCTCGTTCTGTGTTCTGAGCACTGGGCAGGATGGGAACACGCTGCCTACAGAGTGTGTGTCCAGAGTTAGGGATTTCCTGTATATTGGGAAAAACTTGAGCAGCTGAATTGGTCTGAGCTGGGGATGGTCAAGATGGGGGCTGGGAAGTCGGGAGAGGACAGCTGAGATGTGAGTAGCACCATCAGATGCCCGCTAACGAGGCCCGCTGCTCTTCTTTGCAGACTCTCATAAAAGGCTGGCTTCATCTCCGAGAGGTCGAGACCACTGATCTGAACTCTAGTTCCTGGCAAAAGAGCTCCAGGCTCAACTCCAGGCTCAGCTGGGCCACTGGCTTCGGGCTTCCAACCGGCACCGAAGGAGAGGCTGGGGAGAAATCAGGGTGAGAGCCACACACCCCAGGCACTGGGAGCAAGAGCAAGATGGCCTTCCTGACTGCGGCTCCAGCCCAGGGCCCCCCTCGGCTTCGTCAGGTCCAGCTCCTGCCTAATGAGGCAGAGGGAAGGGAACGAGGCACAGTCTCTCTGCCCTAAGTGTCCAGCTTCAGCCCGGTATCCAACGTGAAGCCGAGCCTCAGATACCTCTCTGCTTTCTCGGTGAGGATCTCACCTGGCCTCCTCCCCTAATACTCACAGAGTCAGCCAAGGAAGCGTCAGGGATCCCACTCACCCGCTCCTTCATGAGAGCCAGCGTTCTCTCCGAGTACCCGATCAGCCGCATGCAGTGATGGATCCTCCCAGGGCCGAGCCTGCCCTGGGCAATTTCAAAGCCTCGGCCAGGGCCCAGGACCATATGGTCCTTGGGCACCCGCACATTTTCAAATAGGACCTCTCCATGACCGCCTACGGAGACAGAAAGGGAACCCAGTTAGGCCCACGGCTTCTTCGCAGAAGACGATGGTGGGACAGCGATTCTTTTCAGCTAGTTTCATGTCCTTTCCACTTTCTCTCCTTGCTTTGGCCACCTCGTGGGGACGGTTAATACTGCTTTTCACCGAAGCCTAAAACTAAGACAGGAGCTGAAGAAGGTAGCAGATGTCTCCAAGTAAAAACCCAGTAACTTGAGATCAGAGGATCACGTGTCCGCAGACTTAGGGGTCGAAGGGACCAGAGTCCCTTCGTCTACCTAACTACTTCATTTTACAAATGAGGAAAGTGAAGCCCAGAGAGGTGAACTGACCTGCCCACAGTTACCCAGGCGGTGAGTGACCAAGTAGATTCAAATGGTCACTCTGCTCAGGCACCTAGAAAACATAGCATCTGCTGAGCCTCATGCAGGGAGGAAGTCTCAGAGAGTGCAGAGAGCAAAGCAGGCTTGGCCCACAAAGCCAGTAAAAGTTTCACATTTTTAGGGGGCAGCTAGGTGGCACAGTGGATAGAGCTTGGGCCTTGGAGTCAGGAGGACCTGAGTTCAAATCCAGCCTCAGATGCTTGATACTTACTAGCTGTGTGACCCGGGGCAAGTCACTTAACCCCAACTGCCTCACCAAAAAGCAAAAAAAAAAAAAGTTCACATTTTTAGCCAAAAATAGAAGCATCACATGACCAGCCTGAATACAGCATCCAAGCCACGAAGGCAATATTCTCCACACAGAGACTCAGAAGCCAGGAGGGGTGCCCCATAGCCTTCCTTGGGCTCTGTGGATGGCAGACACATGGTGGAGAAGAGGAGGAGTCCATAAGTGACCCTGGGAAATCCACCTGACATTAGACTGAACTGTGGGGGTCTGTATGTGTGAATTTTATGCAAAAGCACCCTGTGGCAAAGAAGAATTCGATGATAACAGTACTAAAACTACTACTACTACTACTAATGATAACAATGGTGAAGGTGTTGGTGATGATAATGATAATAATCTCTAGAGCTAATTTCAGTTGTGTCCAACTCTTGGCGATGCCATCTGGGATTTTCTTGGCAAAGATCCTGGAGTGGTTCGCCATTTCCTTCTCTATTTTACAGATGAGGAAACTGAGGTAAATAGGCGGTAAGTACTTGCCCAGCATCACCAGGCTTGTAAGGTTTTGAGGCTGGATTTGAACTCAGAAAAAAAAGAATCTTCCTGATACCAGGCACTATGGCGCCACCTAGTGACCAGAATAACAATACGACTACCAAGCATTTCTATCCTGCTTTAAGGTTTGTAAAGGTCCCATAGGTGGGTCACCTCGTCTGATCCTCATGACAGCCCTGGGAGGGGGTGCCATCCTTGTCCCCTTGTCACAGAGGAGGCCTCAGAGATGAGGCATCCCCAGCAGGATCACAGAGTCAGGATTCCAACTCGGGCTTCCCTGACTCCATTTCTAACACCATTCACCACGCTACCAAGTGGCTGTGGCCAGATGCCAGCCAAGAGCCCTGGAGGGAGCACGTGGAGGTACCTGGGCTTTTACCTGGAGGGTCTTCCAGCCCGTACACGCTCAGCGGCCTGAGGACTTTTATCCCCGGCGTATCCATGGGAACCAAGAGTACCGACTGCTGCTGGTGGCGTGGGGCGTGGGGGTCTGTTTTTCCCATAAACACACAGAGCTGGCAGCGGGGATCCAGGATTCCTGCCAGGAAAGGAGGGAGACAGAAGCAGATCTCCTGACGCCAAGCCTCGCTGCAAACTTGCTTCTACAACAGACCAGCTCACAATGAAGAAGCATACTGAGCGCATGCAGATTCTCGGGTCGCCAGAAGCAGGCTCGGATTCCTCTGTCCTCGCAAGGACTGACTCCCAAGGCAAACAAGCGTTTTACCCAAAATGCCGAGGTCTGAGCTCAGTTCTGAGGCCTGCAGGCGGCCCGACAGAAGGGAGGGCCCAGGGGGCTGAGCCGACTGAGCTGTGCCGCGGAGCTCTGAGGCTGGGGGCACGGTGCCCAGAGAGGGTGGGAGGAGAAAAACAACGCCAGGGGTGGGGGCTGGGCCGAGGCTGTCTGGTCTGCAGGTGAGAGAAGGGCATGGGAAAGTGCAATGAATTCCAGTTCCATTCTAGGGCAATGGCACCAACATTCATCTTTTGTTCTGGAGCTCAAATGCCCCTTCAGTGAAAGGAAAGGGCCAGGCTCCTGGAGCTCCCTGCAAAGGAGTCTGAAGGGCCCCTTCATTTCTTCACGAACACCAGGGCTTGGGCTAGGGATGAGGGAGCCCTTTTACAAAGACAGTCGGACCAAAGCATGTTTTTAAAACGGGCTCTGAAGCCACGTACCTGATGTCCACCACTTGTGACCATTTATGATGTAGACCCCGTTCTCCTCTCTAATCGAAGATTCGATATTGGTGGCATCCGATGAAGCAACCTGAAGAAGAGTAGACTTGGGTTCAAATCTGTCAAGGATCCTGGGATGGAGGCCAGGGAATAGTGGCTGGGATGGGAGGGAAGGGGAAGGCACCTGCTCCTGGTCTGTACCTGGGGCTCAGTCATAGCAAAGCATGAGCGGATCTTCCCCTCCAGCAAAGGAAGGAGCCATCGGGTCTTCTGCTCATCGGTTCCATATCTCACCAGCAGCTCCATGTTTCCCGTGTCAGGGGCAGAGCAGTTAAAAATCTGAAAGAGGGAAAAGTACGTGTACCAGTGACTCTTGTGTGCCTATTCATAGCATCAGAGAGGGGTGTATTTCTGCCCCTTTGGTCTAGAAAACAGGAGACCACTGGAAAGCAAGCCAAAAGCTGGTAGATGCTCTCCCACACCCATCTCCGCTTCTCATCTCCACCTTCTCTCTCTCACCGGGCCAACTCTCATCCAGCCCCGTCCTCCCCTGCTCTAGCCAGCACAAGCATCCTGCCATGGGCCCACACTGAGCACCAGGATGAAAAGACAAAAGGCAATATTTGTCCCTGCCCTCGTGGAGTTTATAGTCTAAAAGCTAATTATCAATGGGTCTAGTAGACAAAGAGAGCCAAGTCAGCAGAAAGAGCCCTGAACAGAGGAGTCAAGCTCCAGGATGCAGGTCAAGGCCCTCCTCGGACACGGGCTGGCTCTGCCACCTGGGACCACACACCCAATCTCTCAGTGTCCCAGGCCATCTCCGAGACAAGTTCCAAGCAGTTCTCTACATCAGTGAAATCACCAGTCCGGTCCAATTTAAAGTAAAGCCTTCTACATCGCTCAGGTTGGGGGTGGGGAACCTGCAGCCTCGAGGCCACATGTGGCCCCCCTAGATCCTCGGGTGCGGCCTTTGCCTGAGTCCAAGTTTTACAGAACAAAAGCTTCTATTAGGGGGATTTGTTCTGTGAAGTTTGGATTCAGTCAAAGGGCTGCACTTGAGGACCCAGAGGGCCACACTGGCCTCGAGGCTGCAGGTTCCCCACCCCCATCTTAGGTTACTGAAGAGGAGGAACCACAAAAAGTGGATGTATTTCTCTGGGGCAGGATCCCCTCAGCTTCTCTCTGGGGGCTGACCTGTGTCCTCTCCAACTGCCTTTCCGACATCTCAAACTGGGTGTCCAGTAGAAATCCTAAGCTCATTATGCCCGAGAAAGAATTCATTATCTTCCCCCTAACCCTAACCCTTAGCCCCCTCCACACACATTCCCAATTATGGTAGAGGGCAGCACCATCCCCCCCAGATCCTCAGTCTCACAACCTAGGAGACACCCTGGACTCCTCACTACCCCACCCTGCCCCCCCACCCCACACATCCAATCTGCTGCCAAGGCCTGCCCTTGTCACCTTTACAACACATCTCAAATACGGCCCTTTCTCTCTGCCGACACTGCCCCCACACTGGTGCCTGGGACGCTCTTCCCCCTCTGCTACAACTACTGATGTTCTGTCTCCCTTAGAGTCCCAACTAAAATCCCACCTCCTACAGGAAGCCTTCCCCAACCCCTCTTCATTCCAGTGTCCCTCTGTTAATCATTTCCTATTTATCTTGTATATAGTTTGCTTTGCATATAGTTGTTGTTTGTATACCCCACATTGAACTGTAAGCTCCTTGAGGGCAAGGATTGTCTTTTGCCTCTTTTTGTATCCCCAGTGCTTCACACACTGGCTGGCACATAGCAGGGGCTTAATAAATGTTTACTGACTGATTGTAGACAGAAAGTAGGTACCTCTGGGGCATATAGGGACTTGCCCATGAGCTCACACAAATGGGCATATTCCAGGTTGGTCAGGCCTGCACCATACTTCTTCTCAGGGTCGGTCTCGATGGGCAAGAAGAGATTCCACAGCCCTTCAGACTTGGCTTTTTCCTGTCCAGGAATGCCACGAGAAAACAGCAGTGACTGACTCAGCCCAGATCCATGAAAGACCCATGCCCAAAGGAACGGGAAGGAAAGGGGGCAGAGGCTAACTACAAACACTGCCCATGTTGGGTCATCACTCTGGCCACTACTGCTAAACCTCAAGTCGGGTCCCCAGAAAGCAAAAGAAGAATCCAACTGATGATGAAGAGGCAGATTAAGAGGTCCCCCAGACCTCGGGAAAGAGAGGGCAGCCTTTCTCCAGCTGATGCCCAGATGCACCTTCCCACGGGACTTTCCCTTTGCTGCGTGGGCCGCCGTGCGGTAGACTTCACTAGGCTGGCCGCTGTAGGGTGGGCCAAGTCTGATCCTATGACTACATCCCGTGGGACTGGGGATCTGAGCCAGCACTGTTGGAAGACGGGGCATGTGTATGGGGTTAGAGAGAGATGGGCAGATGGCACCTGTTTGTAGGAGCAAGCTCCCCAGTGCTGGGGACAAGAATACTTCCCCTATTTTTGAACTGCCAGGGAGGGAACAACAGATCAAAACACTTGCCTACTGTCAACCTGGAAGATTCCAAAGCCCTGCAGAAACAAAAGCAAGGCCTGCCTGCCTTTCCTATTTGTTGCTCTACTAGCACTTGGCACAGTGCTTTGCAGAGTAAGCACCTAGTAAATGTTTTCTCCTTCATTTCAATTCACCAAAATCCTCCTCCAATATGTTAATGTGGCCTGAAGATTTATCTCCCTCTATGCTCTGAAAAGCACTGTCCAGCTGCAAAGCCTCTGAGGACAGGCCGGCCTGGGGGTGAGGTGTGTGTGTGTCCCAGCTGAGGTCCTTCAGAGAGACACTTCCAGGGGCAGCTAGGGGGCACAGTGGATAGAGCACTGGCCCTGGAGTCAGGAGGACCTGAGTTCAAATCCGGCCTCAGACACATAATACTTACTAGCTGTGTGCCCCTGGGCAAGTCACTTAACCCCACTGCCTAGCCAAAAAGAAAAAAAAAAGAGAGAGACACCTCCACTCCACAGCAATTCCTACAGATCACCCCTTACTAGGCTGAAGCTGGGCTGGGATCTTAGCTGATGGAAGGAGGACAATGGATGAACAAGCAGCTGATCTTGCTACCCGTAATCCAGGCTACTGCAACAGGATCAGTGAGGCAAGAAGCTGGGGCCCTGGGCTTTTGTCTCTCAAGTACCAGATGAGATAGACGGAGAAAGAGACAGAGAGTGAGACAGACCAGGACTAAGAGAGAAGAGAGCGAGAAGAGGGAAGGAGAGACAGAAACAGACAGCGATAGAGACAGAGGAGGAGAGAAAAACAGAGGAAGGGAGAGACAGAAAGAGATGGAGAAGAAAAGGAAAAAAAGAGGTAGGGAGAGACAGAGAGACAGAGAGATTCAAGTTAATTTAGTGTCTCTGATCTGGTGTTTAACATCACACAGTCCAAAGCACAGAAGCGCCAGAGACACTGAACATCTGGGCTCAGTGGAAAGTCCGCATTTTCATGTTGGAAAACAATTTGGAATTATGCTAAAAAAAAAAGTGACTAGCATGACCCCATGATTCAACTGCTAGGTATGTACTCACTGAGGAGATTAAAGCCAGAATGAAAGGTCCCATATAGGCTAAAATATTCCTGGGGCATTTTTTCTGGTACCCACATAGACGCACAGGGACTGAGGATGGCCAGGCTGGCTGGGGCACATACAGGATGAGTACTGCATCATGAGGAAAGATGGCCCAAGAATTCAGAAAAGTATGAGAAAACTCCTACAAACTAATGCAGAGTCAAGTGAACAGAACTAGGACTACAACAGACACAATAACTAGAACAAAGTTAAGAGCAAAAAAGCAAAAATCACAAGAGTGAACCCTGGGTAATGAGAGGGACCCCAGAAGAGAAGTTAGTTTTAACTACTTTTTTCTTCATTGTTCTGAGTGTAGGGGTGGAGAAGGGTACATCTGCAAATTAAAATGACAGAAAAGCAAAAGATAATAAACCAGTTTTCTTAAACACCGAAGTGATGGTTTTTCCATTTCATACCATTTTGGCAGAAGGTGATTCTTCCTAAGACCCATTTACCTTGAGCTCTTCAATTTGCAGAGGTGGTGTCCATCTGGCCTCAGACATCTGGTGATTTCTCAGTTCCTGCTCAATGGGATATACATGGGTTTCTATGAATCTCTCCAGCCTCTGGTGGAGATCCCTGACTGGTTCTGAGAGGGCTTCTGGAGAGATAATCAGGACCCCTTTGGAGGCAGCAGCCTGAGATGCCTTGGAAAATGTGGCCCAACTTCTTGTCCTGCTTGGGATGAGCGGCAGCCTCCCACGGGCCCACTGACAGTAGGACCTTGTCGACGCTCTTGTATTTGGCATCCCTTTGAAGATCCGAAACCCTTCCTTGATGGCAAAGTCCCACGCCAGGCTAGACGTGAATTCAGCCAGTTTCCCACTCTGTTCTGCAGCTGCTGAGCTCGACTGACCTGGCCAAAATCAAGACAAAAAGGGTTAGGCATTCCACTGACCCCAACAGGATCGGGAAGGTGGTCGCCGCGTTCTTGAGTCATTTTCTAATCCAGGGTCTCCTCCCCTCTCTCCTTCAGTTGGTCATTACTGTTTGCTGCTGTTGACTTGTTTCAGTCGTATCCACAACCCCCATTGGGGGTTTTCCTGGCAGACACTGGAGTGGTTTGGCATTTTCTTCTCCAGCTCATTTTACATAGGAGGAAACTGAGGCACAGAGAGGTTTAAGTGACTTGCCCAGGGTCCCATGGCTAGTAAGTGTCTGAGGCTGGATTTGAACCCAGGAAGATGAGTCTTCCCGACTCCAGGCCAGGAGCTCTGTGCACTGTGGCGCCCCCAGCCGCCCCCATTGCTGTTGGCTTCCCCTGTGTCTGGCCATGGCCACCCATCCTAAAGAGAACGTGTTATCCTTACTGAGGTAGTTTCAGCAAATGCAGCCTCTCAGTGCCCAATACTCTTCCCAGTTGCCATCACTGTCATGGCTACTTCCTTAAGCTCATCCTTTTATACAAGCCTTGGGCCACAGTAATAGTGGTTTATGCTGCTCTCTATGAGTTATGAGCCAAACCCTTCAGCCCCTTCGCAGGAAGTCTGGCTCTCCATAACCATCTAAACCTTCCTGCACTTGCCGGATTCATTTCCTTTCTAGATCATTATCAGGATGCACTGACGCCTCTAAGGAAAAGACACAATGCTTGAATTCAGTTTTATTAGAAGCAATTTTCCCGTCTTGGAGAGGGCAGGAAGGAGCCTCTCAATGCTCCCCTTTTAGGAGCTCTCAGTCACTAGAGCCAGGGCTTTAGAAGAGACTGATGGATTACTATCGCTGCTTACTGCCCATGGCTCTTCCCAAAAGTGGTCTTTGAGGGGGAAGGAGGGGACGTGTACTACAAACCTCAGAGCTCTGCAAAGCTGTAAAGCTTGATGTCACCTAAAACCAGGCAGCAACAACTGCTGAGAGGGATTCAGTCTGGGATTTGAGGGGCCAGGTGTGCTCACACACGTATTTATCTGTGCAGACATGCTGTCTGGTGGCGAACTCCAGCATCGACTGGGTTCTGGCTCTTGGAGAGCCTAGTAAACTGGCCACATGACATCCTGTTAGGCAAGATTTGGGACATGTCACTGGACTTTGCCAATGCAAAGATTCCAGAATGGATACTGGCTACTCAGCAAGTCTCCTTTATTGGGTCACCATCTGCAAAGAGCCAAGAGCTGGAATGGGACAAGGCTGTTTACCAATCGCTGGGATGAAGGCATCCTAGGTCTGGAGCAGGGAGGGCCCTCAGAGCCCATCTAATCCAGACCCTTCATTGTACAGCTGAGGAAACGGACATTCAGGGAGGCTACGTCTGATAACCGTAACAACAACAACAATAATAATAGTGCGGCAGAATCACAGCGTCACTGACGAGTCCAATTGTCCCATTTTACAGAGGAGGGTCTAGGGAAGCTAGATGAGAGGATGAAGATCATAGCTCAGCTCTAGAGCTGGGAGAGACCCAAAAGGCCTCCTCCAATTCCCTCATTCAAGGGATGAGGACCCTCCCTTAGCCCACGGGGGAAGATTAAGTTTTCCTGGGATGCAAGGACACTGGAGCAGAACACAGAGTTCAAGAGAGAGCACTTTAAAAACATCTAAAAGGAATGAGGGGCGCGTCTGACTGTTTCCCTCCCTCCTCTTAAGGGATTTAGCAGCCATTTTATTGAATTACATCAGCCTATTTTACACTGACTATAGAGAATCAAGAAAAAAAAGAAATGATGAAAAGAATATAAAGTCCTAGTTTTTGGTGAATCTTAGCACTGTCACCTACGAGCCACAAAACCTCTCTGAGGATGTGTAAAATAGTGTGTAAAATAGTGATAATGAGACCTGTGTGGCCTCCTTCACCCAGTTATTGGGAAAGAATAAGGCCAAAGAGGTAAAAGTGATATACATTCTAAAGAGACAGACCTAGACAAAATCTGAGTCATTTCTGCCCAGAGGGAAGGAATGGGATATTCCTGGGAATGTTGTACTGTTGAGGATTCTGATTATCTAGTGAGCTTGTCAGTAATTTCTTTATTAATTTTCATGTTTGCCTCCCACTCAGAATGTTCTGGCCAAAGTCTCACTGCCCTGAATGATTGCCCTGGCCTCCTGGCTGCCAGATCCCTCCCCAAATGATGTTAGCAAGCTCAGGCTTTTGTTTGCCTGATGCCCAAGAAGGCCCGAAGGCCACAGAGTCCTACCTCCTCTACAGTATTGTGTCTTTCTGTAGACCTGCCCTTCCTGCCCAAGAACAAGCCATGACCCCCTACTCACCTTTTGAGAAGGGACTAGAACCAGTTTCCATCTCTCCCTCCCACAGCCCGATCCAGGCCTGATGCTCTCTGTGGCCCCTGGCAGCCAGGCCTCCTCCCCAACTTCTCTACTGATCAGCAGTAATCATCTCCTCTGCCAACCCAAGATCCTCTCCTCCCTGACCAGCACTGGTCCTGGTTATGAGCTCCTCCCTTGGCTTCAGAAATATCCTGGTTCTCCTCTTGCCTCTCCAGCCACTCCCCTTCAGTCTCCATGGGCTTCTCAAACTATTCCCAGACCCACTTTTCTCTCTCTACTCTCTCCTTTGGCCACGTTCACTCCCAAGACTTCAACTGTCCCCCCGATGCAGATGATGGTGAAGTTGTATCTCTAGGCCTGACTGCTTTCTCAAGGCTTAGACACCTGTCTCCATCTGGATTTCCCATCGGTATCCCAAACTCAACATTTCCAAGCCTGAATTTCTTTTCTTTTCCTCCAAACCTCCCCCTTCTGCACAGAAAATAGGCCCCCATCTCCCAAGGTCATTGTGACAACATGTGTATGCACTCTGCAAACACCACAACCCTGTTGCTTAAATGCTAGTATTGTCCCCAGGTTACAGATGAGGAAACTGAGGTTGGGATTCAGTGACTGGCCCAGGAACAAAGCAGAGGATTTTACCCACTGACGTGCATATGAGCATACTAGAGGGAGGAATGCAAACACAGACGCATGCACCAACCAATATGGGCGATAATCCTAATAACTCAGAGGAAGGAAAGTGGTCAATCAGGGACCTGTTCCCAGTAAATTGACTTTTCCACTAGGCTGAAGACGAGGCAGTGAACTCTCAGTAATCATCTCCTTTCCTCCCCACTATACACATCTCATGCTTCCTTAGGAGGAAATGGCTTGGTTTTTGAGTGGGAATAGTGCATTAATCTCTTAGAAATCCTTGCCCAGCCTGTGTTTTCCCCAGACCCCTGGGGGCTCTTGCACAGGAGCAGGGCCTGTCCCTGGATGGCCTGGATGGCCTTCAGGCTGAGGGACTTCCCTGAGATCACTGCCTGTTCTCCTGCTTCACCCCCTCGGGGCAGCTTTGCAGCTCTGTGGTCTGCTTACCTTTGAGAAAACGTTTGTAGACCCCTTGCAAGATGGCAGCCACTCGGAAGAAGGAGAAGGCCATGTAGAAGTTCCAGTTCTCAGCTGTAGGGATCTCCATCTGACGGCAATACATTTCGAGATACTCCTCGGCAGTAGGATTCCTAGCTGAGTAGCATCCAGGTCACTCACACCTATGAAACAAGAAAAACTGCAGCCTGCTACTCACCAGCCAGTGTCATCGCTGTCCCCTGAGATTCCCATGAGGCGTCATGGAACAGCGAAGAGAAGTCAGGCAGACCTAGGTTCACATCCTACCTGCAGCACCTTGGTCAAGTCTCTTAACTTCTCTGCCTCAGTTTCAGGGTTGGACTCGACGGTCTCCAAGGTCTTTTCCAGATCTAAATCTAGCATCCCATGACCTCATAATTCTCTGAATTGGCTTACTCACTGGAAACCCGCTTTGAAGTTCACTCAGAATTCACACATTATTTCAATGACCCTTTCTCTCTGAGCATGCTGGAAAGTCATTCAGGAAGCATTAATCCCAGATTGGCTCCTAAAGGTTTAACTAAATTAAAGTTGGCAGGGAAAGCCCAATTTCTGAGTTCCCATCTACCCTGTGGTCAACATTCAAGGGATGGGTAGAAGTGACCTCAGAGGAATCTTTCACCTTGTCTATTTGTTAGAAACCCTGTTAAATGGGGATTTCAAAAATCGAGGGAAATTTGTCACAAATTAATCAATCGGCATTTATTAAGTGCTGACCACATGCCCTGGCACTGTGCTAAGTGTTATAGCTACAAAGGCAGAAGCAAAACAACCCCTGCCCACCAAGAGCTTACAGTCAGTCTACTGGGGACACAAATGAAATTTTCCACTATCTTCCCCCAGGACTATCAATGGTTGAAAACAGATCTAGATGTTCTAACGCTATTTTGCATGTTCCACATTTGCCCAGCAAACGCCCCCCTCTTCCCTCCCAACTGTGTTAAGCTGCCTTCCCACAGCCCTTCTTGCCAAAGTGGAGGTCATTCCCCACCTCAACCAAAAAGGAAACTCAACGAGGTGCCCTCCTTGCCACGGTAATTGTCGGGGGAGTAGAGGCATCTGGATTCTCTTCCAGAGCAGGTCATACCTTTTATGATAGGGAAGTCAGATGGCAAGTAGTGAGCCAGGCAGCTGTAGGCAACGTCTGAGAGAGGATCTCCTAAAGTGGACAGTTCCCAGTCCAGGATGGCTAGCACCTCGGCCTTTTCTGGATTAAACATCAGGTTGTCTAGCCTAAGGAAGTAATAGAAAGACTGAAGATATGCAAATGGAGCACAAACACAAGTATGTGTGAAGCACCAGCCATGCACGAGTCAACATTTAAAGGGCTACCCCGTCTTGGACATCTCCAATATGCTATAAGGATTCTCAGAAATCATGGGATGCCATGGAGCTCCAGAACTTTAGAGCCAGAAGGGCCAGCTCCAAATTATTTGGATTATTTAAATTATTTACAAATTATTTAGTTCAACTACTTAATTTTACAGATAGGGGATCTCAGGTTCAGAGGAGGGGACCTACCTAGTGACTGTTTCCTAGCCTAAAGCTTCGAGGGACCATGGACATCACTGCTGTCATCATTCCCACACCTTCATTTAGTGCCAGCTGCTCTGACGGCCAGTCCAGTGTTTTTCCCACTAAACTATGTTTAGAAACTACTACTGGAAGGCAGTACAGTACCATGGGAAAAGCTCCAGCTCTAGTGTCCTGCCTCAATCCTGCTACCTGAGTGACACTGGGCAAGTCACTGAATCTCCCTATGCCTCAGTTTCCTCATTTGTAAGGGGAGGGGATTGGGCTGATGGCCTCTGTGGTTCCCTCCAGCTCAAGAACTATAATCCTATGGCCTCTGAAATGGCTACATAACTCCAGCAAATGAAATAAGTGGGCAAGGCAGACGAAGGCCAGTGGTTTCCACAGAAGTTTTGAGTTTGATGATGTGTATTGGTCTGTGTTGTCGAATGATGGAGAGGTGAGCCTTGTCCAGCCCCAGTGATTATGGGAAAACGAAGGCCATGGTACCATCGATTTCCTGCTCAATGTCCTGGTGAAGTGGGTTTCAAACCCACTATAGTCTCCTAGTCTAGAGGTCTGGGATAGAGAGTAAAAGGACAAAGAGGAGGGGATCCAACCCCAGTCACCCCACATGGAGACCAGACAGACCAAGCCAAGGCTAAAAGAAAAATATTTTTGTCTTTCCAGCCAGAGCGAACGGAAGATGTGGTCAGACACCTAAGCCAACAGAGGCCCAACGCTCCAGCAGAGGCACCCACATTCCCATTAGAGCCAGACAGACAAGCCTGAAGCCTTGACTGCTCCAAGAACATTGAGCCTAGGACACTTGGAGCAAATCATTCCAGGAGGCCACAGGCCAAAGCCCATATGACAGGGATGGAGGGAGGGAATTTCACTTGTTAATGAAGGAAAGAGAAGACTGATTTCAAATGCATGCAAATTCTATCTTCAAAATACTATTTTAAAAAAATAAAACTTGCTCAACAAAGCAATTTTCCTCAGTTCTCTAAGGCAGAGAAGGGTTAAAATAATTAGAGAGACTCCAGTTTGGCCTGGATACAGATCACTCTGTGGCTAAGAGGCCTCCTAAGTGCTTATGTGAAGTGGAAAAACATTACAAACCAATCAGACATGCAATTAGTTGATTCCAAAGCAAGACAGGATCAAGCCAGAAGCACAGGCTAGATGCCAGACCGTCCTGGCTCTGCGTAGAGACTGACCATCAAAGGCCCGAGCAAGTCACTCTGGCTCCACTTCATTGGTTTCAATAATGCAAAAGGAGAACTTGGTCAGTCACTGACTGACCTTTGGGTCAGGGAGTCTGGAGGTCCACTTCACCTTCCTGCTTGGAGAGACTGGCGGGGGGGGGGGGGGGGGGGGGGGGGGGGCTGTGACTGATCACGTGAGCACAAACACCTTCTAACTACAATGCAGATCCAAGCCACCAGGGAAACCTGCCCAAGGGTACACAAACGGCCTTCAGCTAATCCTGGAGCCTTCTCACTTTACAACCTTTTGCTGCTCTCTCTGCCATCCATTTCTACCTGAAATCTCCGTGCACCACGGTTGTCCTCTGCCCCTTCGGGCAGGTGTTGTGGGAGCCATTTGATGAGGCGCTCCATGGCCGGGATGGTGCTGGTTTCTGTGGCTCGGTATTGCTTAGTCCAGGTTTGAACCTGGCGTTGAATGTAGTCCCCTAAAACAAAGAGGTTTAGAATGCAGGTGGGCTACACCAACAGCTTCAAAAGTCTTGAAAATTAATCTGTAGAGGAGCTCGTAAATCTTATTTGAGAGGGGCAGCTAGTGGCGCAGTGGATAGAGCACTGGCCCTGAACTCAGGAGGACCTGAATTCAAATCTGACCTCAGACCAAACACTTGACACTTACTAGCTGTGTGACCTGGGCAAGTCACTTAACCCCAATTGCCAAAACAAAAACAAAAACAAAAACAAACAAAAAAAAATGAAAAAGATTAGATGGATGTAAATAAAGACTTTCATCCAAGTTATAAAGGTCAGCCTGACCAACATTCTGCCCTGGGAGAGAAAGGTCCCAGAGGATGGTGGGTAAAGGTAAAGAGGATGCTGATTACTTGGTAAAGAGAACAAAGGCCTAAATAACACTACCATCTTCCTCAATACACTTCTTTTGTACCTTTTCAAAGCATTTTTACATATTTTATCTCATTTAATTCTCATGATATTCCTAGAATCACAAAATAATAAAATTCTAGGTCTAGGAGGTCAACTACTCCAGCCCCCTTGTTTTAACTTACTGATAAGGAAAATAAGTGTGAGGGGTTCTAGGATGGGGATGCCCCTGGGCGTTCCCAATCAAGCCAGAAAACCTCATTCTGCTGTCCCGTGGAGGAATCAACTACATAAAGCGGGACTGAGGAGTGGGATAATTCCTTGACTTTACATTTCCTTCCCCCTCCAACTCTTCATAACCAAAAGAGCGAGGTCTGGACAATCATTTGTTTCAGATACTACGGAGGGGATTCTTGGTCAGGGATAAACTGGACTCCAGAGCTCCTGAGACGCCACCTCTGAAATTCTGTGACTGCATGAGCTTCATGGAGAGCTATGTCATAAACAGAGCAGGAAAGAAATGTTTGCTGAGCTGAGGAGTGCTCCTGGTCTGTTCTCAAGAGCTGTAAGAACAACTGTGGTTCTGGGAGCTCTCCAATGTACCAGTCAACCTCTGCCGGGAGGAGCAGGCCAGCCTCTGCCTAACAAATGCTGACCTCCTGACTGAGACAACTGTCCAACGCCACCCCTGCCCCATTGAAAACTTAATTAACACCAAAACCAGCCCTCTTCCCAGACCCAGCCTACCCTAACTGACTTGGGGCTTTGTCTGCCACGTCTCAATCACGGCCCTCAGAGGCAGGTTTCTAGGCTGGAGCCCTGACATCATGAGGCAAAATTTCTCAGAAAGAATTGAAGATTCCCAATTCAACTTGTTTGTTACAAATGAAATATCAGTCAACTTTTTTATGCTCATCAATTTTTAAGAAAATGCCTCTAGGAATGGCCATGAACCAGTAGAAGAAATCATTTCTCCTACCATGGGCCTTGTTTGCTGCCTAGACTTCACTGGGGCTTCCAAAACGATCAAGGTGAATAGCTTCAGGACATTCAGTCACCATCACACAAAACAGACTGAATCATTAATCCCTGCTAAATGACATCTTCCGTTTACACACTTGTTTTGTACCTTTCAAAGCATCTCCACATATTTTATCTCATTTAATTCTCATGATGTTCCTAGAATCATAAAATGATAAAATTCTAGAGCTGGGAGGTCAACCACTCCAGCCCCCTCATCGCACCTTATTGATGAAGAAATGGAGAGCAAGAGATGGGCAGCGACCTGCCCACGGGTACACAGCCAGTCAGTGTCTGCGCCGGGGTCCCCCGACTGCTGCCTGATGAACTTCTGAGAAGGCAGGAGTTATATTCTACGTCTATTTTACACAGCTAAGCAGTTTTTCCCAGCAAGCTGGCCGATTCCTTGGCTTGTGTGTTTTCCACTGTCTCCCACACTAAGGCAACAGACACAAGAAGTGATCCATAGCTGACAAGCCTCAGCTCTAGCCCGAAGGAGCGGGCTCACAGGCTTGGGATCCGATCTGCTGGGACCATTTCCCCTCGTGCACAGCCCTGGTCTAGGTCTCCAGTGATGTGGGCTAAAGGATCTCCAGTCTCCACGCAAATGCTCAGAGAAACAAAGCACATCAGCTACAGGCCAGCTTCGGTTTCCCTCATAAAGGGTCTGCAGTAATCCATTACCACTTCACTCGTTCCCCCTTACCAGGGGTGCTGACCTGCGCCCCGGGGACCTGAGGCAACAGACCAAATCTGACAGCGTTTTTCCATGTTAGTACCTAGTCCTGAGAAGCTTGCTGTCTCTCCAGGGCTAGGGTTCGAGAGCCCATCTCTAATACTCCACTAGCCATGCGCCCCTGGCACAGATCATCTCACTATTCTGAGACTCAAGCGACTTCCACTAGACCACAGGGAAGCCGCATGTGGACAAGATCAAAGGCCCCTCCCCCCTCCCCTTCTTTGGCCTTTGCCGTTAAGGACGTAAAAGAAAATAAAGGAGAAGAGGGAAGGGAATAAGAAGAGGGTGACCAGTCCAACTAACGGGAGCTCAACATAAGAAGGGCAATGCTCAAACACAGGAAACCAAAGTCCCAGAATCTCTAAGGGAATGGGACTCGAGCAGTCCTCTGGCCCAGCCGGCACACCATCCCCAGCAAAGGTTCATCGCAGTTCTGCCTGGAGAGCTCGCCTCACCCGCCTTGGGACACTGCTCATTGTGCAGAAGTTTTTCCTGACACCGAGTCAAAAGCTGCCCTGTGCATCCAAACCCAGGGCCCCCTAGTTCTTTCTCCTGGAACCAAGAAGAGTAGAGCCATACCTCTTTTGGATGATGGCCCTTTAGATACTTAAAGATGGCTACCTCTTCTTCCCTCACCCTTCTCTTCTGTAGCCTAAACACCCCTAGTGTCTCCAGGAAATCCTTATGTGGCTGATTCTGTAGCCCTTCCCCAACCCAGCCATCATCATCACTGCCATCACCATCCCCTGGATATTTTCTGCATCATCACTGTGGCCCCCAAGGTGGCACCCAGAACTGGACCCAATATCCCAGAGGTGTCTGACGAGGGCACAGGACAGACACACAGCAAGGCTAACACTTCCTTCATTCAGGACTCTGACCTTTTCTTAATGCAAACTAAGACAACATTAGCTTTTCAGTACACAGGAAGCTCCTTTAAACTAGGACTGAGAAGCAAAATTTGTTCACTTCACACACATAAAAACATTCACTAGCAACAGCACTGACAAACAGAGGGCCTCTAACCTCTTCCTTACCATGCTTCCCGTAGTCTTCCAGACCCGCTGCCTTGATGTCCACACTATGAAGCTGGCACAGCACTTGGTTCATGGCAGCGTAGATGGCCTTCCTCTGGCTGGGCTCCATGCCTGGAAGCGAGGCTTCGTTGTAGATCTGCCCAGGGCAGTACTCCATCAAGTAGAATGGCGTGCCAATGATGCTGTGGGCACACAGACGAGATCATTCTTGTTCTCCTATGTTCACAAATGACTTCAGTGTTAACAAAAGGGGTCAGACCACACGTAGCTGTACTTTTTTTCTCCTTCCATTAGACACAAGACTACAGCAATGGAAGCTTTTTCATAAGCCTGCCCTTTGTCCACATGAAGAAACCATCAAACAGGTTTCAAAGGTGACAGTTTTGTGATATGAATTATACTCCTCCTCCCCAGCATCCTCATGACTGGCCCCCAAGCTGTCAGCAGGCTGCTCACCACCAAGTACGCTCAGGTTGTCTGCAAGGGAGTCTTTAACCTGGTCCAGTTAATTGTTAGGATGAGCCACATGGAAAATCAGTTCAGAAATGGTAATAAAAATGATTAAATTTGAGAAAAGACAATTGCACATGCAGGCTGTTTTCTACTCACGGAAAATAAAATGTTTCCCTCCTGTCTTGCAATGCAATTCAAATGCTTTTGAGTTCCTGGGCAGGTGGCTCCAAGGCTTCCATTTCTCCTTCTCACCTAAGTTTTCCTCATCCTTAATTTAGCAAACTGTGTGGCTGGGCCATCTTGGGGCCTTGCACTATCCTGGGAGCCCTGATCTGAGTGGAAAAATCCCCAATTTACCTTGAATCCTCACAGAGGTCAAGAACTTTGGGAACAGGAACTCCAGTGTCACTGAGGGCTTTTATTATCCTGCAGGCACAGAAGAGGTAGGATGACTGGTCAGCCAGGGGGAGGCAATTCTCAGCTGAACTGAGAATGTATCCTTTAACAGCTTAACACGGTAGAATCAGAGGCACAAGAGACAAACCGATAACCAATGTGTGTGTGTTCAGCGTCCACTTCTGAATACATCTACATCTCTCTGTCTCTGTCCCTCCCTCCCTCCCTCCCTACCCCCATCCCTCTCTCTCTTTCTGTCTCCTTTTTCTCCAAGGTCTTCTTGATAGGCATCTATTTTGAGGACCATTAGGAAGTATGGGCATCTTTTTTTGAGGTTATTAACTGTTTGTATTTCCTCCTCTGAAAATTATCTGTTCCCCAGTTTGGAGCTATGCCCAAAGAGCTATAAAAATGTGCATACCTTTTGATCTAGCAATAGCACTTCTAGGGCTATATCCCAAAGAGATCAAACAAATGGGAAAAGGACCCACATGTACAAAAATATTCATAGCAGCTCTTTTTGTAGTGGCAAAGAATTGGAAATTGAGAGGATGCCCATCAACTGGGGAATGGCTGAGCAAGTTGTGGTATATGAATGTAATGGAATACTATTGTGCTATAAGAAATGATGAGCAGGCTGACTTCAGAAAAACCTGGAAAGACTTGTATGGTCTGATGCTGAGTGAAGTGAGCAGAACCAAGAGAATGTTGTACACAATAACGGCTACGTTGTATGATGACTAATATTGATAAACTTAACCCTCCCTAGCAATACAAGGACCTAGGCCTCGTGACGGAAAATGCTATCCACATCCAAAGAAAGAACTATGGAAATTGAATTGCTATTTTCTTCTCTTCTGCTGAGTTTTGTTTCCTCTTTCTGATGGTTCATCTCATTGGTTTTAATTTTTACTTACAACATCACGAATGTGAAAATATGTTTAATAGGAATGTAAACGTATAGCCTATATCAGATTGTGTACCCTCTTGGGGAGGGTGGTGAGGAGGAAGTAGGAGAAAAATTTTAAAACTAAGTATATGGAAGTGATTACGGATAAATCAAAATAAATTAATAGAAAAAAAAGAAAAGAGAATTATGTGTTCTCAAAACACATAAATACAAATAAAAGATATCGTTTACAGAGATTGAAAATGTCTTAAATAATTAGAGAGGCATTCATTGCTCATGGTTGAGCTGCACCAATATAATGAAAATGAAAATGAAAATGCTTCCTAAATTTACATACAGATTTGGTACTATACCAATCAAAATACCAAAGGATACTTTATAGAACTAGATTTTTTTTTAAATTTTTTTTATTTGGAGAAACAAAAGATCTAGAATCCCAAGAGAAATAATGGGAAAAAAAAGTAAGAAAGAGGGGGGATAGTCAGTCTACAGCATCCATTAAATACCATCTGCCAGGCACTGTGCAAAGCTCTAGAGAGACAAAAAAAAAAAGCAGAAGCCTAGTCCCTGGACACAGAGAGTTCCTTTTCCAATGGGGGAGATAACAGGTAAATAACTAGATTCCTACAAGATCTACACAATGAAAACAGAAGGAAATCTCAGAGGAAAGGCCCTAGCAGCTAGGGAGGGGTTTGAGTGAGCAGAGATTGACTGGAAATTGTAAGCCTGAGTGATCAGGAAAATGGTCCCTTCCCAGCAATAGGCCCATTGAGATCAGTGTGAGGGACAGGAGTTAGAGGGAGATAATGAGAACACCCAAGGAAGTCAAAGATAGGAGAAAGGTCCAGCAACCACCAAAATATTCAAAGCAGCACCTTTGTAGAAACAAAGAGCTGGAAACAATTAGGGAACGATGAAAAAAACTGTGACTTGAATATAATGTAATATTAATGTACAATAAGAAATACCAAATATGAGAAATTCAGAGAATCTTGGGGAGATTTTTATGAACTGACACTGATCAAAATAAGCAGAACCAAGAGAACACAACGAACATAGACAAATGATTACTATAATGGAAGGGAAAAGCTCATTTCATGGAAATGTGAGTAACTAAAAAACCAAGGGAGTCCCCAGAGAAGGATAAGGCAAGGCACCTACCTCCTCCCTCCTGGCAGTCAGAGGACTATGACAACAGAATGGCTTCTATTACCAGAAGCACTCACTGCAGGAGATGTTTTTGTTTAATTGTCTTATTTTGTTCAATTTTGACGGGGGAGGAGGGATTTTACATAAAGGCAAAAGGCATGAAGAAAAACAATGTTTCAGAGCAGCTAGGTGGTGCAGTGGATAGAGCACCGGCCCTGAAGTCAGCAAGACCTGAGTTCAAATCCGACCTCAGACCAAACACTTGACACTTACTAGCTGTGTGACCCTGGGCAAGTCACTTAACCCCAATTGCCAAAAAAAAAAAAGAAAAGAAAAGAAAAACAATGTTTCTTAAGGAAAAACTGTGAATGATGGGAGAGGACAGAAATGTTCCTCCTTATATAGTCGAGACAGTTATCTAAAATATTCAGACCACTCATCCAGTTAAGGGATTAGTCTATGCAGTGAGGGATGGATTCAAATCCATTTTATGATGCAATAGTTAAACAAAAAGTTAAGAAAGAAGGTAAGTCAATAATGAGGGCTAAAGAGCTGGTATCATAATGGTACTTCTCATTCTAGGGAGCCTTTCTCCTTTACAGAAGAACACGAGGCCCAGTCTGAGAAAGGGGTACCAGAGAAAGGCTCCTGGATGCGTGGGCACCATCTTGGAGACATTCCCAGCCACACTGCTCCCTCCGTGAGAGACCTAGATGAAGTCCTCTTTCCCTCTCTTTTCCTAAATGTTTCCAGCTCCTCATTTCTCACTGGGTACACTCATGGTGCACTTCTTTGAGGTTTCCACCACGCCCCTCTGAAGGTACCTTCTAGCCTATCTCCTCCTTTTCAGCTTTCTTTTGTGTATCCTCTCCCCAAATAGACTAGAAGCTCCTTGAGGGCAGGAATTGACTTTCTTTTTGTATCTATAGCTCCAGAGTTTAGCACAGTGCTTGGTACATAGGACATACTTGATAAACATTTATTGATTATTGACAAAACAAACTGCTTTGAAGTAGACTGACACTCTTCTACACAGGATGCACTGTAAAGTAGACAGTCTAAGGTGGGTTAAGATGAAAGGATGGCAGGAATGAAATAGGATGTAAACAGATGACCACAATTAGTATACAAATAATGAGGCACTCTCCTCCCCCAGCTCTGATGGAGAAGCCCAGCCTCTCACAGATGTCTGTGCCCTTAGAGTAATGCTAACAGATGAACCAGAAGAAATGAGATGTGTAATAAAAGTAATGGCACCCAAAGTGATCCAAAATATCTCAAACATTTATTTTGTTCAATTTCTAAGGCAAGTCTCTAGGACCATTGTCCAGGGCCTCAGTCAGTGGTACAGCACCTCCTTCTATGAGCTGCTACAGAGAAGAGCGTGCTGCCCTGAGGAGGTACCTGAATTCCCTCTCCACGGCATGGGCAGAGGGAAGGAGTTTTCCTGGTGGCTTCTTTCTCAGGACCAAGTGGTGATTGTCCATCCTGATGGAGTAAGTTGGATTGGACTGCCCATGACTGAACTGCAGGACTTCCAAGGGACCTGAAACTATCAAAGACAATGGCAAAATTAAAAAGCGTGGTTGATGAAAAGACAAAATATCGGGGTTTTTTCCAATTTTACCCCAGAAAACACTATTTCCCACAGAGGAAAAAAGGCATTTCTAAGTCACACACTAGAATGATGAAATCCCTACAACACCCATTTAAGCTTGGATAAGCAATAGAATGGGGGTGTACTGTACACGCAGACCCCCTAAGATAGGAGCCTGAAGTTGTTTCTGGGAAATTGGAGGTCATGGAAATTCTGTGTTGGCCAACCACATGGCTGGAAGCAGCCAGAAATGTCTGTGTATATAAAACCACCTGACTCAGGCTTTTGCTACATTTGTATCTGAGGAAAGCGGTGACTCCTTTATTCCCACTATGGTATAAGAGGCAAGGGCTTTAAGGAGCCCTCCCCACCCCACAATGTGTCTCAATCTTTGGCCTTTCCTTCATTCTTTTCTATTCCACGTGTAGGGAGTGGAGTCTCTGACCTTGGCCAAGTGCTTGAGCTACGGAGAACTGGGAGTCCAGGAATCCAGGCCAGGTATTGCAGCCAGTCCATCAGAAGCTGGCAGGAAATCGAGGCTCTGGATGTGATGTTGGAACTGAGCTAAATAGGGAGCGTAATTCTTCTCCCTTCTTGCTCCCCTCCCCCTAGACAAAAAGCAGGTGGTGGTGGGGATTGTGCCCCAGTGGTGATGAAGCAAATGTTGAGTGATTTTTCTTATTACATCTTTGGGTTTTTTTATTAATCTATTTTTATTTATCAGCAACCACTTCCATAACCTTTTGAGTTTTAAATTTTTCTCCCCCTCCCCCCCGCAAGTTGGCACACAATCTGATATAGTCTCTACATATACATTCCTATTAAACATATTTTTACATTAGTGATGTTGTAAGGAAGAATTAAAACCAACAGAAGGAACCACAAGAAAGAGAAAACAAAATAAAATGAAAGGAAAAAAAAGCAAATAGTATGCTTTGATCTGCATTCAAACTCCATAGTTCTTTCTTTGGATGTGGATAGCATTTTCCATCATGAGTCTTTTGGAACTGTCTTGGATCATTGCATTGCTGAGAAGGGCTAAGTCTATAAAAGTTAGTCATTGAACAATGTGGCTGTTACTGTGTACAATGTTCTCCTGATTCTGCTCACTTCACTCTGCACCAGACCATACAAGTCTTCCCAGGTTTTTCTGAAGTCAGCCTGTTCATCATTTCTTATAGCACAATAGTATTCCATTACATTCATACACCACAACTTATTCAGCCATTCCCCAATTGATGGGCATCCTCTCAATTTCCAATTCTTTGTCACCATGAAAAGAGCTGCTGTAAATGTTTTTGTACACGTGGGCCCTTTTCCCATTTTTATGATCTCTTTGGGATACAGCCCTAGAAGGCTACTGCTAGGTCAAAGGGTATGCACATTTTTATAGCCCTTTGGGCACAGTTACAAATTGCTCTCCAAAATGGTTGGATCAGTTCACAACTCCACCAACAATGCATTAGTGTTTCAATTTTCCCACATCTTCTCCAACATTTATCATTTTCCTGTTTTGTCATGTTAGCCAATCTGATAGGTGTGATGTGGTACCTCAGAGTTGTTTTGATTTGCATTTCTGTAATCAATAGTGATATAGAGCATTTTTTCATATGATTATCTAGCTACACCTTTGAAGTAAAAATCCCTTTGTAAAAGCTATAATAATGATAGGTGACTAAGTGGAACTGGGGTGGAAGTCACTAGGCCCCTAAGATGGGATTATAGCTGAAGGCACAGAAGAAGAGACCCCGGCCCCTCAACTTCTTCATGGTACTTGTGAAGAGTCCAGTGTAACAGAACTGGCCCTGAGAGAACAGGGCCAGAGTCAAAACAGGTTAGTGACCAGAGCCATACCTAGGAAATCAGGCCTCTGGGGCAGCTGCATGAAAGATGCCCTAAAATCACCTTTTAAAGGAAACTGAATGAGAGAGGGACAAGAGATGCCAGAACACAAGGGCCCGAGGCGAGTGAGCCCGAGACCCAGGTTCTGGCCCCTTTGGACAAAGTCCAGGACACTGAGGCTGGGAGGGAGCAAGGTAGGGCCTGGTTGGCAGCTCACCTGGGATGTGGTTTCTCTGGTGCAGGTAGGATAGGGGGAAGACACCACCTGGTAGCCTCCGATTTTCACTAATTATTCTTACTAAATGCGTGCTAAAATCAGTTGCTCAGGCAGTTTTCAGATGAAGAAATCAAAGCTATCTATAGTGATATGAAGAAACGCTCTAAATCACTATTGATTAGAGAAATGCAAATTAAAACAACTCTGAGGTATCACCTCACATCTGTCAGATTGGCTAATATGACAAAAAAAGGAAAATGATAAATGTTAGAGAAGCAATACCTTTGGGTCTGTATCCCAAAGACATAAAAAAAAGGAAAAGGACCTATTTGTACTAAAATGTTTATAGTAGCTCTTTTAGTGGTGGCTAAGCATTAGAAATCAAAAGATTCCCACCAGCTGGGAAATGTCTAAACAAGCTGTGGCCTGTGGCTGTGACAGAATATTATTGTGCTATAAGAAATGACAAGAAAGGATGATTTCAGAAAAACGGTGCAAAGTGAGGTCAGCAGAACCAGGAGAGCGCTGCACACGGTGATGGTGATGCTGTAAGATGAAGAACTGAGAATGACTTAGCACTTCTCAGCAGCACAATGATCTAAGACAGTCCCAAAGAACACACCATCCACCTCCAAAGAAAGACCAGATATTGCCTGAATGTAGACCGAAGCATGCTGTTCTTCACTTTCTTCCTTTCATTCTCTTTTTTATTTGAGTCTTCTTGTATAAAATGACTAATATTGAAATGTTTTACAGGATTGCACATGTATAATCTACATCGATTGCTTATCTTCTTGGCAGGGGGAGGAAAAGGAGGGAGGAAGGGATTTAAAAATAGGGGCAGCGAGGTGGCGCGGTGGATAGAGCACTGGCCCTGGAGTCAGGAGGACCTGAGTTCAAATCCGGCCTCAAGACCAAACACTTAACACTTACTAGCTGTGTAACCCTGGGCAAGTCACTTAACCCCAATTGCCTAATTAAAAAAAAAAAAAGAGAGAGAGAGAGAGAGAATTTTTTAAAAAGTGTTAAAAATTGTTTTACCATGCAATTGGGGAAAAATAAAACATCATATTAAAAATAATAGACTAGCCAAAGCTGGGGGGGGGTGGGAAAGTCAGTGGTTTCTTCTTGCAGAAGAACTACAGGTGTTGTCAGCCCCTTCTAAGTCTCAGGGCCCTGGACAAAGTGCAGTTGCCCTGCCCCGGTTATGGCCACAGTGAAGGGCACTGGATTGGCACTTCCATGATGTCTTTGATTAGTATTGTATTACGTCTCTCCTTGTAGCCCTTTTCCAAAGAAGGCAAGCTCGTAGTTCCATCCATCAGCAATAATGGTTTCCCGTATTGCTAAAAATAGGATGCTCTTGGTCTGCAGATGAAGGGTTGTTTTTCACCCCACACCCTACTAAACCACTTCTGACGATGCAGCGAGAGCTGAAAAGGGCAGTTAAACAGCTTTGCTAGTGCAGACAATGCCATTTCCCCTGTCAGTGAGTTACCCCCCATGATACTGCCATGCTGACATCTTGGCCCTAACTGGCACACAGACTGAAATCTGGACATTGGCCAGATGGGCAGAGAATCAACAGAAGCTCAGTAGCAAAGAAATATAACAAGTGACATCCCAAAGGATACGGTGGGGGGCAGAAGTTTCTTTACCAAAGGTCCTAGGAACGTCTGCTAATTCATACATTTTTCTAGAACAGGAATATGGAAAATGAGAGGGAAGGTTCATAGGCTGCATAGGAAATTTGCTACAATTTGTAATCCTGCAAGGTTCAATTCCCCTTCACAAAACAGATGGTTATTGTTCACATTAAAAATTCTTAAACTACGGATAGTATAAAATACTTGGGTGTCTACCTGCCAAGACACACCCAAGAACTCTGTGAACACAATTACAAAACATTTTTCACACAAATAAAGACACATCTAAATAACTGGCGAAATATTAATTGCTCATGGATAGGCTGAGCCTAATATAATTAAAGTGACAACACTAGCTAAATTAATTTACTAATTCAATGCCAAACCAATTAAACCACCAAATAATTATTTTAAGCTAGAAAAATTAATAACAAAATTATCTGGAGGAATAAAAGGTCAGGAATATCAAGAAAATCAATGAAAAAAAGTGAAGGAAAGCAGCCTAGCAGATACTAACCATCCTACAAAGTGGCAATCATCAAAACAATCCGGTACTAGATAAGAAGTAGAAGAGCTGATTAACGAAATAGATGAGGTGCGCATTACACAGAAGCAAAGGAACATAAGAACTTAATGTCTGATAAATCCAAAGATCTTATCTATTGGTATGTCTGCCAAAAACTGCTGGAGAAACTGGAAAAGCAATCTGGCAGAAACTAGGCATACAGAAACAGCTCACACTATCATCAAGATAAGCTCAAAATGCGTACACGATTTAGACATAAAGGGTGAGAGCATAAACAAATTAGGGCAGTATAGAAAAAATTACCTATCATATCTGTGGCTAAGTGAAGAGTTCATGAACAAACAAATGATAGAGAGGATCATGAGACATAAAATGGATAATTTTGATTACATTAAATTAAAAAGGGTTTGCACAAACAAAACCAATGTAGCAAACAAACCAAAAGCAGAAGGAAAGTAGGAAACTGGGAAAAAAGTTTTTATAGCAAATTTCTCGGTAAAGGTTTCATTTCTGAAATATATAGAGAACTGGGACAAATTTGTAAGATATAAGAGCCATTCCCCAATTGATAAATGGTCAAAAGATATGAACAAGCAGTTTTCAGAAGAAGAAATCAAAATCAAAATAGTCACACAAAAAATGCTCTACTTCACTAATGCAAATTAAAACAACTTTGAGGTACTGCCTCACACCCATCAGATTGACTCACGTGGCAAAAGGAAAATGACAAATATTGAAGGGGATGTACAAAAATAAGGATAGTAATACACTGTTGGTGGAGTCGTGAACTGATCCAACCATTCTGGAGAACGATTTGGAATTATGCCCATAGGGCTATAAAACTGTTCATATCCTTTGACCCAGACATACTGCTGCTGAGTTTGTACCACAAAGAGAGATACACAAATAAATAAATAAATAAATGGATGAATGAATGAATGAATGAATAAGTAAGTAAGTAAATAAATAAATAAATAAATGGAGATGGAAAAGGCCGGAAAGAGAACTGATGAACTCTGAGTGCAAACTGAAGTATAATTTTCTCACCTTCTTTATTTTCATTGCTTTTTAAAAAAAAAAAAAACTATGGCTAACACAGAAATGTTTTGCATGATCTCACATGTATAATTGATATCATATTGCTCACCTTTTCAGTGGGTGAGGGAGGGGTGAGAGGAAGGGAGAGAATTTGGACATCAAAATTTTAAAAGAATAGAATATTAAAATATATATAAATAATACATTTTAATGTTAAAAAAAAAAGTAAAAGGACCCATATGTACAAAAATATTTATAACATCTTTTTTTGTGGTGTTAAAGAATTTAAAATTGAGGGGATGTCCACCAGTCGGGGAATGGCTGAACAAGTTGTGGTATGTGATTGTGACAGAATACTATTGTGCTATAAGAAATGATGAGCAGGATGGTTTCAAAAAAACCTGGGAAGACTTGTATGAACTGATACAAAGTGAAGTGAGCAGAACCAGGAGAACATTGTGCACAGCAACAGCAATGTATAATGACAACTAACTGGAGGTGGAGCTAAGATGGCAGAGAAAAGGCAGGACTTGCCTGAGCTCTCCCAAATTCGCTTCCAAACAACCTTAAATAACGCGTAAAAATTAATTCTGGTGCAGCGGAACCAACGAAAGGACAAGGGAAACAATTTTCCAGCCCAAGACAACTTAGAAGGCCAACAGAAAACGTCTGTCACGCAGGAGTGAGAGTGGAGCACAGTCCAGGGCAAGCTGTGCCTCAGCAAGACAGCAGCAGGCCTTGGGGGCACCTGAATCGGCAGCAGTGACTTGTGGAGCTCTTAGCCCACAGATGGGAAAGGGGTCAGACAACTGGTCAGAAGGAGATTACAGGGGTCCCTTCGCCAGCACTGAGTGCAGAACTCAGCTTTGGCCATATGTGGATCTGGACCACAGTCCTGGGTCATAATCCCAGGGCAAGACGGAGCACTAGAACACCAGCGCTTATAGCCACGGGGGAACGGGGACTGCGGTCACAGTTCCAGGGTGGAAAAAAGTACTGGAGGTAGGTGACAGACTAGAGTACAGGCCAGGGGAACAGTGACCACACCCTTCCCTTAATCATACCACCCTGGAAGAGCTGAAAACTTACAAGTCCCCAGAATTAGCTCTGCAAACAGCAGAACAAAAAGAAAAAGAAAAAAACAAACTAAGCTTGGGACTGTGCCCCTTCCACCCCTGGAGCAGAAGACAACTTTCACATAAAGTTAAAAGTCAAGGCTGAAAACATCATCAGAGAAGGTGCTATGTACTCTATGAGCAAAGCAGAACTGAAGCAGCTCAGAGGAAATGCAGAATGCACAAATTTAGAGAATCCACCCCAAATGTTCACATGAATTATTTGTGCCTGACCTACGGCAGAGCATCCGAGCTTGTACTGGTCTGGTCAGCCACAGTCGGACACCGTAACTTGACTCTAGCACAGTGACATCATTTTGGTCCTCTTCGAGAACAAGGGACAACAATCAAACCAAAAACCAACCAAAAGTCAAGGAAAAGGCTGGAAAAAACAACAACAAAAGAACCTGACTACAGAAAGTTACTTTAGTGACAGGGAAGATCAAAGCACAAACTCAGGAGGGAACAATAATGGGAAGATGTCTACAGGCAAAGCATCCAAGAAAATTGTGAATTGGAGAGAGAATACATGGGAAAAAGAGGATGGAGAGAAACACAGTGATCATAACCATGAATGGAATGGGATGCACTCCCCCATAAAATGGAAGCGGATGGCAGAGTGGATTACAAACCAGAATCTGACGCTATGCTGTCTATAAGAAACACATTTGAAACAGAGAGACACATACAGAGTGAAAACAAGGTTCTGGAGCAGAATCTATTATGCTTCAGCCAACATAGAAAAACAGGGTAGCAATCATGATCTCAGACAAAGCAAAAGCAAAAACAGACCTAATTAAAAGAGATAAGTAAAAGGGCAGCTAGGTGGTGCAGTGGATAGAGCACCAGCCCTGGAGTCAGGAGGACCTGAGTTCAAATCTGGCCTCAGACACTTACTAGCTGTGTGACCCTGGGCAAGTCACTTAACCCCAAATTGCCTTAAAAAAAATAAAGAGATAAGTAAGGAAACTACATCTTGCTAAAAGGCTATGGCCAATGAAATAATATCAATACTAAATGTACATGTGCTAAATGGTATAGAACCAAATTCTTAGAAGAAAAGTTAAATGAGTTACAAGAGGAAATAGACAGTAAAACTACACTAGTGGGAGACCTCAACTCTCCCTTCTCAGAACCAGATAAATCTAATAAAAAAAAATAAGAACTTAAGAAGATTAAAATAATTTTAGGAAAGTTAGATATGACAGACCTCTAAGAAAAACTGAATGGGAACAGTAGATGCTACCCACATACACAAAAATTGGCTATGTATTAGGGCATAAAAACTTCACAACCAAATGCAGAAAAACAGAACTATTAAATGCATCCTTTTCAGATCATAATGCAATAAAAATTACATTCAATAAAGGGCCATGAAAGATAGATTAAAAATTAATTTGAAACTAATGATGATCAATTGTAAAAGACTTAGCTACTCCAATCAATACAATAATCCATGAGAATTCCAAAGGACTCATGATGAAAAATGCTATCCACTTCCAGGGAGACAACTGATGAACACTGAGTACAGACTGAAGCCTAATTTTTTCACTTTCTTTTTCTCGGTTTTTGTGTATGCTTTCTTTTGCAACATGAGTAATATGAAAATATGTTTTACATGACCACATGAATAACGTATATTATATGTCTTGTCTTCTCAATGAGTGGGAGAGAGGATAGAGAAAAAGAGAGAATTTGGAACTGAAAGTACTTTTTTTTAGTTTAGAATATTTAAAAAATGTTTACAATTCCCTAAAACCTCATGGGGATCAGACTTGGGATACACAAAATACATTTCTTTACTGAATAACTTTTTCTTTTTTACTGACTCCTTTTCTTTTTATATCCCAGTCATTTCTGGATATATCTCCTCCTCTCCCCCCACACACACACACACACACACACACACACTGAGCTCCACCCCATCTTTGAAGACAGAAAAGCAATCAAGCAAAACCAACCAATTCAGCAAGAGTAATTGACAGGGCACAGCACCCTGCCCCCTCATCCACAGTCTACACTCCAAAGGGGCAAGGGATGTTGCATCCTCTATTCAGGTCGACAACCTCAGGGACGTGCACTAATGTCCACAACCTCTCAGAGCCAAAGACATGCGGATACAAAGGAGTCTGACGTCTCTGCCCTGATAGAACAGAGAACTTGCTCCCCTCTGAGCCCCTGGGCCCAGCACTGCCCCTTCCTGTCCCTGCTATACCTCATTTGGCCTTCACACCCTCAGCCAATGCTCAACACAAGATGAGAGATGGACCCACTAAGAATACGGGTCTTCAAACATAACACCAGACTGCAGAATACCTGCTGCTTGGCTTCCTAGAAGGTTTTTGAGGTATTTCTCTAGGGAATCTCTTGGAATTTCCATTGTCTTTCTCACAAAGCAGGTATTCGGAATGATCTTCCACAAGGGAAAACCCAGAAAGGTTTCTAGCTCTTTTAAGGCATTTTCTGCATCATTAACCTGGTTAAAAAAAAAAGAGACTTTAGCACTTCCCAGCCCTCAACCCTAACCCTCTTCCAGCCGCCTATTCTGTAAGTTCTAGACGACAGCTTTTTCAAAGGTGAAAGGCACAAACAAATTCAATCGAGGCAAAGGCTGAACAGGCTTCCCATTTCCATTATGCCTCTAACCATTGTACACATTCTGTCCAGGAAGGATGATGTTTCCTAGCACTAAGAGGTCACAAAAGAGGCTGCTTCTGATTTCTGCTCAGAGCCTCCCCTACTGGGCTGTCCTGATGACAGGGCCAGGACTTGTGGGTTTTCATCTCAGCATTTCAGAGCTGAAAGGGGATGTCAGGGGTCATCTAGTGGGCCCACACCACCCTACAGGGAGTGACCAGCCTCTGCCAGAAGACCTCTGCTGAAGGGCCTCCGCGTCTCAAAGGTAACTGGGACATCAAGACTCAGTCAGGCTTTTTGTGATTTCCCCTCTGGGGTCAAGCCGGACACAACGGATCCTTCCTCATGCAGGACTGGAGACACAAGAGAGTCACCATGACCCCCCGTCTTCTCTTCTCCAGAATAAGCATCCCAAGTGCCTTCAAACAATTCTCATGTGTCATGGCTCAAGGCCCTTCTGGATTCTGGGCTGCCTGCAGCTGCTCAATGCCCATCCTAGAGCATGGTGCCCAGAACTAAACATGTGGCCTGAGCAGGGCTGAGGACAGCAGGAGGCTGCGGCATTCTCCTTTGTGACCACACGTCACGCTGCCAACCCACTAACCACCAACCCAACCACGGGACTTTGCTCTGCCTTCCCCTGCCCCTCATCCTTGGAAAGCCTAATGTGAGACTTCACAGTGACCCTTCCTACAATATTCTCCAATTACTCTCTAAGGGCAGTGGGATTGGGATCAGAGTTCAAATCTTACCTCAGATACTTCTTTGCTGTTGTAACGTTGGGCAACGCCGTAACCCTGACTGCCTCAGTTTGTAAAATGGGGGTAATACTAATTACCTCACAGGGTTGCTGTAAGGCTCAAATAAGCACCTAGCTAGAGCCTGGAACATAGTAGGTGCTTAACAATGCCTGTTTCCTTCCCTTCTTCCTTTCCCTAGCTGCCTCTGAACAATTCACCTCACCTCCCATGCTCAGTTTCCTCACAATAGCATTACCTTACAGAGTTGTTGTGAGAATCAAATGAGTGAACATGTATAAAGTGCTTTGTAAACCTTAAAGTGCCCTATAAATGCCACATACTGTTATTATTTGTTATTACATTGTTATGTATTATATATATTTTATGTTTATTAACTACATATTATATGACATAATATATAATTGTATATTATATTATATATAATGATATATTGTATTATATTACATTATAAAATTCATGGAAATTTAATATAATATAAAAATATATTATATTATTATTATTTTATAGAATTCACAGAAGGTCTCCCCAACACCTCTAACACTACCTGGATACACAGTGAGTGTTTAATCAATGCTCACTGGCTGATTGATTCTATACCTTTATAACGTGAATGCCAAGCTGGGCCGCTGCTTTTAAATTACGTTCGAGGTCGTCAAGAAAGATGGATTCTGCAGGCTCCACCTGCAGCCGCTGCAAGCACATCTTATAAATATGGGGGTCCGGCTTGCAGACCCCTTCCAGACAGGATTCAACAACCTAAAGGAGGCATGGGAAACACAGGTAAACATTCAGAAAACCAGTTTTGGGGCTCTCTAATGTGAAGATCAGCATGTTTGCTGAAATGGAGACAATATGGTTGGACACAGGTGGTATGTTAGAACAAGCGTACCCCCTTTTGCACAACATGCCAAGACCAAGTTAGGCTGAAGGATTTGGGAACACTATGGGCTGTGATCCTGTGAAGCCACCCTAGCTACGCAGGGCTTCTTCCTAGCTAACAGCTTCCAATAGCACCTGTTATCAGGAGAAGCTGTCAGAAAGCAGACCCAGGGATGTCCCAGGGGCCCACTTTTGTCTCAGAAGGCCCCAACTGAATGACCCGTCCCATTGTGTTGCTTGCTAAGTGCTCCTGGGGCTGTAGATTATGGCAGTGAGGATACCAGGGGCCCAGGGGTACAGGCCTTGGAGACAGGGTTAGAAATGGTAATTAGACTTTCCTCCTCACAGTCCGCCATGTTCCTGAGCTCCTGGTGTGAACCTCATTGAGAGTCCTGGAGAAATGGTGGGGAAGGAAATAGCAAGCCATGGGCTTCCAGCGCTCCTAACTCTCCCTCTCCACCTGCTGCAGAGAGGAGGACCAATTTCCCCCAAAAGGCCTGCTGAGCATGCTACCACTCATCCTGTTTGCTTGAATGCGATAAAATGAAATCTATCGACTGCCCTATAGATTCCCAAGTCACAAACTCAGACCCCTGAAGCCATAAAAATTCTAACAAAGTCGGGTTTATGTTTTGTGATACAAAACAAAATATCCTGAGCAAATTCACAATCAAATTATTAGTATGAGGTTTGAAAAAAGCCTTACCCTATGTTGTGCTTTGGGCTTACAGTACAATTCTTTGGGTGGTTTTTGTTTTTAATGGAACTATGCTGACAATCTGCAGTGTCTCCCTAATACCTCCAAAATAAAACACAAACCCCTTTGTTTGGCATTGAAGTCTTGACCAGGCCCCTTCTTCCCTTTCCAGCCTTATCACATATCACCTCCCTCCATGTATATATTCTACGGTTCAGCCCCACTGGCCCACTTGGGGGTCTTCCCACTCTCACCTCCACACCTCTGCGTGGCCTGTGATTTGAACCGGAACACACTCTCTCCTCGTTTCCATCCCTTAGAAGCCCTGGTTTCCTTCAAACTTCAAACACTGGTTTCCACAGGAAGTCTTTCCTGGCCCTTCCTATCCCTACCAAGTGCTAGTGCTTTCTCTCCCAAAACTCTCTGGTATCACTGTCCATAGATGCTGTATATTCTAACATGATAAACTATACAGCAGGTATAGTGATGAGTGTATGGTCTCTGCCATCAGAATGTAAGCTCTCTGAGGACAGGGGCTGTTTCACTTTTGTCTCTGTAACCTCATCAGCCAACACAGTGCCTGGCACATAGCAGGCATTAACAGATGCTTCTTGATGAATCTAAGGAGCCTGAAACACTGAACCCTCTATACCAAGCCAGGGAAAAGAAATGGTACATACACCATCCCCCATTCAGATATGATGTGGCCTACAGCCGTATGCCGGGCTCCGGAGGAAATGAGACGGGGCCTTAATCTCAGTGTTTCCCAGCATCATCCCTGGGTGTCCAATATTTGGGGACCAGCTCTGCGACTTCTATGGTGTAGGGGACTCTACATAAGGGAACTCCCTTTGCCCAGGTGGTTCAGCACCTGCTCTGCACCTTATAGCCTCAGGGGACTCCCTGTGGCCTGAGAACAGTGACATACCCAGGGTCACACAGGAAGTATGGGTCAAAGTTGGGACCTGAACCCAGGTCTTCCTGACTAAGGCTGGCTCTCTAGCCACAATAACACACTGCCTCTAGGAAGATACAGAACATTTGTTTAGTTTATAAACTAAAATATATCCTCTTGGATGGGAATTATAACTGAAGAGGATGTAGTAAAGATTATTTGCCTTGACATTTAACACATCCCTACCCTACCCCTTCCCTTTCACCCTAGGCCATCTAGGTTCTGACGCTGACTTAAGAATTCAAGTATGGACAGAACCTTTGAAGGCACCAGGAAACAGTGCTCCATTTATTACAGGTCTGGGAAACTGAGCTTCTTCTGGCCCTCTTGGGCAGTGTGTGTGTGTGTGTGTGTGTGTGTGTGTGTGTGTGTGTGTAGGGAGTGTCTACCAGAAAATGGGCCTTACATGGCTACAGAAACCCCTAAAATCAAAACTTTGGGGGGCGCCCTAGGATACAACAAACTCCCTGGATGAGTCTTGGAACAACCCCAGTCTAGATCCTGAGGATAAGAAACTAGCCCTTGCTAGGTAGTGAAGTGGGAAGACCCAGAATCAGAAGACATGAGTTCAAATTTGGCCTCAGATGCTTATTAGCTGTGTGACCCAAAATTCAGTTAACATCTGTCTGCCTTAGTTTCTTCATCTGCAAAATGGGGATAATAATAGCCCCTATCTCTCAGGGTTGTAGTGAGGACTAAATGGGATATTATTTATAAAGCCATTTGTCAAGCCCTTATTTAAATGCTAGCCATCATCATCAGTATCGTCATTGTCATCATCACGAGCCATCCTGGAGTGGTAGGTACCACAACTGCACTAGCCTCGAACAGCAATATCTTAGGTGACCAGGTGATTACCTCTCTACCCGGTCATCTCAAACTCTAAATGAGGCACAGAAGGGTGAGCAGCCCCTTCTAAATATCACAAGTCAATAAATCTCGTCTGGAATCTCCAGCCACCTGTTAGACATCTGGAACGGGATATCCCGCAAGAATCTTAAACTCAGCATGTCCAAAATGGAACCCATTCTCTCTCCCCCAAACCCTCCCCCACACACACCTTCCCTATTCCTGTAGAAGGCAACACCATCCTCCTGGTCCCTCAGGCTCCCAACCTAGGGGTCATCCTGGACTCTTCACTACCACTCACCCCCACATCCAAGCTGTTGCCAAGGCCTGTCCATCTCACCTCGGCAGCATCTCTCAAATACGGCCCCTTCTCTCCTCTAATGCGGCCCCCGCCCTGGGGCAGACCTTCATCACCTCATGCCAGGACCATCGCTGTAGTCTGCTGGGGGACCCACCTGCCTCAAGTCTCCCCACTCCAATCCATCCTCCAAAGCGATTTTCCTACAATGCAGGTATGACCACGACACCCCCTACTCAATAAACTCCAGGGGCTCCCCATCATCTCCAAGAGCGAATACAACATGCCTATCCGGTCTTCAATGCCCTTCCTAACCTGCCCCCTCCGATGCTTCCAGCCCCGCACCTTACCTCCCCAACGCGTCCTCTTCCACCTCGGGACCCGAGCCTCCTGGTTGACCCTGCCCCAGAATACTTCATCTCCCAACCAGGCACCTTCCCTGCATGTCCCCCACACCTGGAAGGCTCCACTCTTTGTCTCTGCCTCCTGGCTTACTTCGGGTCTCACCACCTGCCAGAAGCCTCTCCTGCCCTCCTTTACTGCCAACCCCATCCCTCGGAGATGAACTCCGATTATCCGTCCACACCTTGTTTGTACACGGTTGTTCATATGATGAATCCTCCATTAGACTGTAAGCTACTTGAGAGCAAGGGCTACTCTCGCCTCTCTTTGTATCCCTGGCACACAGTAGGTGCTTCATAAATGCCTGTTGATGACCTGGAAGGTGCTGCTCAGAAGCCAATGCCTTAAGTCGACATCCTTCCTCTTCAGGAGCCAGAGAGGGCAGCTTTGGGGAAGAAGTGCTCCCAGTGACACAGTCCCAGAGACGGCCAAATCTGGCTGTGCTGCTCAGAGGCTCACAAATCGGTCACGTCACACTGTGTGCCTGCTGTGTCTCTAGAGCTGCCTCCAGAGGTTCTTTCCCATTATTTCAGACAACACTGACCCGCTCCCTTCTTTGAAATCCTTTTCGGGGGGACAGCTAGGTGGCACAGTGGACAGAGCCTCGGCCCTGAAGTCAGGAGGACCTGAGTTCAAATCCAGCCTCAGACCAAACACTTGAACTTAACAGCTGTATGACCCTGGGCAAGTCACTTAACCCCAACTGCCTTAAAAAAAAAAAAAAGAATCCTTTTCTGTCTGTGGTTCTTGATTTGGCTTTTACTCAGGTCCTCTGACCCCAAGTTTGTCAGTCAATAGTCCAATAAGCATGTATTAAGCACCTACTATGTGCCAGGCACTGCACAAAGCTCTTTCCTGGCACCTTGCACCAAGGGCGATGGCACAGGGGTCTTGGGTAGAGAGCAGGATTTATGGACAGAAAGGGGTTTGCTCCTCTGCTATTATTTAACTGTTCCAGGGGTGTCTCTCTGCCTCACCAAGCTGTAAACTGGCAGGTTAGGCCTTGCACTCCTCCTCCTCCTTCTTCTGGAATCTCTCCTCCACTCTCTCCCTTTCTCTCCACTCATACAGCCACAGCCCAAGTTCAGGCCCCTGCCCTCTCTTGTCTGGCTGTCAGAACAGCTTCCTCACTGGACGTCCCACTCCAGGTTCTCATGCTTCCAATCCATCCTCCAACAAATCTTCCTGCAGCAGAGGTCTGACCTTGCCCTTCTCCTGTCACCTCCCCATTACCTGTAGGTTAAAACACTAACTGCCTGGCTTTGCATTGGACGCCCTTTCTCCTCTGGCTCCAGCCACTCTCCCAGAGAGATCCTGCGGCACTGCCCTCATGCCCGCTCCACTTCCCAAGGACTGGCTTACCTGCTACTTCCTGAACCTGGTGAGCCTGGAAAGTACTCCCTCATCACCTCTGGGGGTGGAATCCTTAGCTTCCCTAAGGCTCAGCTCAGGGGTCAGCTCCTAAGGGAAGCCTTTTCAAAAGGCCCTGGTCACTCCTGCTCCTAGCACATAAAGTCCCCAGCTTCTGTCTCTATGGCTTGGCCCTCCACGGCTCTCATAGCTAGCAGCCACTCTCACCTCCCCTCCATCTCTTAGGCCTGTTTCCTTCAAAACTGTTCAACGGACAGACGCCTTCTAGGGAAGCCTTTCCCAATCTCCCCCTCCCCCCCCCTTCCCAGCCCTCTCCAATTGACTTAGTATTCATGTAGGATATGCTGTAGCTCTAACTATACCTCCCTGCCTCCCTGGAGAAAATGTAAGCCCCTTGAGGGCAGGGCCTATTTCATTCTTTGTCTCTGTAGCCCCAGCTCCCAGGGTAGGAACTGGCCCAAAGAGCAGGTGCTCATTGAACCCTTATTGGCTAGAGATGAATTAACTCTTCAGGTGCTTAGCAAGCTGCTGTACCCATAGAAGGGGCTCATAAATACTTGTGCAATTGAATTCTATTCCTGATCTATTTTTCCAAAGCTTAAATAAATGCTTTTGTAGAGAGAATAATCTTCTAGTGAAGAAGATGGATACTCAAGTGGGCAAAGTTGTGGCCAGACTGAGCACTCTAGAAAGTGGTCACAGAACGGAAGGGGAATAGGGCTGGCCTTAAGAGAGACAGCGGGACCAGGGCTCCCATGGCGGGGTGGAGGGTGGGGGAGGGGCTGATAGAGGCAGGGCGCCGATGAGACCAAGGTTCCCATGGGGGGGGGGGGTGTTGATGATCTGAAGGCCAGAGTGGAGCCTCTCACTGCAGTGAGTTTCCAAAGCTGAGGCCTGTGTAGCCACTCACTCCCTGAGGCCCACGCTCAGTCATCAAATCCTCTAGCGTTTGACCTTGGGGAGAGTACAAAGACTTTGTCAAGGCTTCGCCTTGGCTGAGCTCCTCCATCAGGAAGCAGGGCCTCTTTCCAAGGCCTGCCAGGATGAGGTGCCTCAGTCAGTGCTCCAAGAGAAGGAGGAAGGGGAGGGGGCCACTTTCTACGCTATTTTTAATCCCTGCAGCCTTACCACATCAAACTGTTTCCGGTCCAGAGGCAAAAAGCTCTCCCCATTGGGGAGATAGAAATTATTACTAAGAACTGCAGTCTTCAGGCCTTCTGCCCGGATTTGACTTATCGCTTCTGTCATCACTGACAACTGCTTCGAAAATTGTCTACTGGTCAGCAGAGAAAAAAATGAGCCAACCGGCACCGGCGACGGCGACTTTATCTAAGAAATAATGAGAAAAAAAAACCCAGCAATCAGCAACAGCGGCAGCAGTTGCAGCAAAAAATCTCCCCTAGTCTGGGAAAAGGCTTTCTTAGCTCTTGACCATTACTACCTGGTGGCCACGGCCCAGGCTAATTACAGCTGCCCCAGGGAAGCGTCCCACTTAGGACTTTGCCTCAACTTTGCAGGGCAGTTACTGTGAACCCCTATTGACTCTGAATGGCTGGGAAACAAAGTATTCGGTTTTACCAAATAGTGTAGGACAGGGGTGGAGAACCTGCAGCCTCGAAGGCCATATGTGGCCTCCTAGGTCCTTGGTGCAGCCTTTTTGACTGAGTCCAAGTTGTACAGAACAAACCTTTTATTAGGGGATTTGTGGTGTTAAGTTTGGACTCAGTCAAAGGGCTGCACTTGAGGACCTTGGCCTCGTATGTCCAATTTGCAAAAACTGGAAGACAACAGAAAACAGCGCAGTTTAGATTTCCCCTCTGCTGTGGGACCCTGGGCCAGTCACTAAACTAGTTAGCGCCGTGGGGGGCTCTTTAAGACCCTAAGTCACAAAGAAGGTAAGGGTCTGCCGTGAACAGGGGTGTGCTCCCTACATTAATACAATCACAGGTCTCATCCAAAAAAAAAAAATTCAACTCAAAAACTGCGGGGCTAACAGCTACAGCTAAATTTTTCTGCTGTTTCAGAAAATTCATCGTTTGAGCGCTCCGGGGCCACTGTCATGATTATCATCACAGCCCAGCTGCAGAAGGAGGGAACGCTGGAGCCAGGGCTAAGTCTGGGCTGGTGCAATCTGGAAGGAGCTTTATTTTTAAAATCCCTGCTGTCGGCTGCTTTCCTGTGCAGATCTCTCCTTTCCATAAAAATTGTGTGCAGAATACAGAAAAGAAGAATCAGCTCACTGGAACTCTCTTGTTGTTTGCATTCTGGATAGATGGGAATTTATGGTGTCTGTGCTGAAAGGACCATCCCATGGAGGCTCTGAGGTTAGGAGGCAGGGGGAGCAGTGGACAGAGTGAGGTTTTGGGAGGCAGGTGAGACCCGAGTATGAATTCTATCTTTGATCCATACTAGCTACGTGACCTGGGGCAAGTCAAGTACTCTCCATGAGCTGAAGTTTCTTCATCTGTAAAAAGGGATAAAAAAGCTACCTCATAAGGTTCTTGTGACATGGAAGATGATAGATAGATAGATAGATAGATAGATAGATAGATAGATAGATAGATAGATAGATAGATAGATGGAGATAGAGATGGATAGATAGATGGATGGAGGATAGACAGATGTGATTATATATCTATATCTACCTATCTAATACTGATACTATACGTATATATGTATGTGATTATATCAACATCTATATCTGTCTAGTAATTGGCAAACCTTTGCAAAGACTATGGGGATGTCGGCTCTTAGCAGCTAACATGCACAGAGTATAATTGGTAGTACACATTCCCCTCCGCACTGACACATTGCCTTGCCAGACCAATGGAACATGTGACGTGAGAAGGAATAGGAGATGGGACACAAGGAGCCCAAAATGGACCCCTTTCTATGACAGTCCTACGACAGGGAAAGGGCTTGTGCCAAACATCTGGCTGCCTATACCTACAGTCTTGTTGGCTCTTCTAAAGAAACATCTGCTCTGGCGGCCACACCCCGTGGCTGTGAGTGCCCCCCTCTGTCTTGGGCCACCTTCTCTTCGCCCTCTCTCTCACGGATTTGTGCAGATGACTCCCCCACGTCTACATCCAGGCTCTGAGCTCGCTGCCCTAAGCTTCTGCCCCATATCACCAATTCCCTATGGCACATTCAAACTAGATGTCCCAGCATCTAAACTGTAACATAGCCAAGGCTGAACTCATCATCCTGGCCCCTAGGCTCACTCCCTCTCGTGTCCAGGGCAGCAGCAATCTCCAGCTTCCCAGGCTCACTCCCAGAATCGTCCTGGCCTCCTGGCTCTCCCTCTCCTCAAACCTCCAATCTGCTGCCATGTCTCTTTCTATCTCCACAATCCGTCCCTTGCATCTGACCCTTTCTCTCCCTTCCAATGGCTCTCACCCTAATTCAGGTCCTTGTCACTTCTCCTTGAGATTCCTTAAACAGCCTCCGACTCAGACTCCCTGCCTCCAGTCTCTCCCCTCTCCAGTCTGTCCTACATGCTGCTGCCAGGACGGTTTTCTCAGACACAGATCTTACCATGTGGCTGCCCTCCTCAATCTACTCTAAGACCAAATATAAACTCCTCTATTTAGCTTTTAAAATCCTCTGCAGCCTCACTCCAACCAATCTTTCCAGCCTGGTTGGGTATTTACTCCCCTTCTTGCCAACTTCCATCCAGCCAAACAGGTGACCCACAACCGTCTATCTCTTGTTTCCAGACCTCTGCGCAGACATGCCTCATGCCTGGAAGGCCCTCTCTCCTTACTCCTGCCTCAGAGCCCCCCTCTTTCTTTAAGATGTAGCCCAAGCACCATCTTCTGCAAAAAGCCTTTCCATACTCTCCAAGTGTCAGGGCCCAAACTACCGTGTGTGTGTGTGTGTGTGGTGTGTGTGTGTGTGTGTGTGTGTGTGTGTGTAAAGAAAAGGAGACAGGGAAAGAGAGAGAGAGAGAAAAGAGGAGAGGGACAGAGAGAAAGAGAAAGGAGAGAGAAAGAAGAGGGAGACAGAAAGGGAAGAGAAAAGAGAGAAGGGAGAGAGAGAGACAGAGACAGAGGGAGGAAGGAGAAATGAGAGAGATTAGTAGGGCATCACTTGACCTTTGCGCTGTCCGTATTTGTATGTGCTCGGTCCCATTAGACTGGCAACTCATTGTGGGGAGGGACCGTTCTGCTCTCTGAATCTGTAGCCCCAAGGCCTTAACAGCTATGTGTTGAATGATGAGTTGATTTTAACACATTGTGGTTAAACTAGACACACAGATAGGCCTTGGGTCTAAGGCCAGCAATTGCTAGTGGGTCGTGAGTAAAGAATATTTATTTTGATTCGCTTTTCTGTGAAAGTTGACAGGCTCACATGCCTAAAGATGTGCCTTAGTCAAATCCTTCATTTTCCAGGTTAGCACAGGATAGAGAGGGAGTGACTTGCCCAAGGTCACTCAAGTAGTAAAAGGCAGAACCAGGATTTTAACTCGCTCCCTCTGACTCTAGGTCCAGCGCCTCTTCCGTGACACCATACGAAATGGGACAACAGACAATCTACTGAAACTAGGTATTCGGTAGATTGTAGGTGTTAGAGCTGGAAGGGACCTTCGAGGCCACCCACTCCTGTGGATGATGCAGTCGGATGTGTGGGGGATTAGAGCGCTGGGCCTGGAGTCAGGAAGACCTGAGTTCAAGTCCAGCCTCCGACACCTTCCAGATCTGCGACCTTGGGCAAGTCACTTCACCTCAAATGAGGTAATATTTGTAAAAGTGCCTGACACATAATAGGCATCCTATCAATGTTTATTCCCCCTCCCTTTTTCAAAATGGGGTCCTTGGACTGCTAGCGGTATTTGAGACCTTTTCAGGAGGTCCATGAAGTCAAAACTGTTTTCATAATACTAAAACATAATAATAATACCAAGACTGTATTTTAATTTCAAATAAGCAAATATTCATAAATATAACTCATAAAAACCCATCTTTGGCTGGGTAGGGGTGTCTTCAATCATTTTTAAGAGCATAAAGGGGTCCTGAGACCAAAAAGTTGGAGAATCACTGATGTCCTCTGATATCCTCGTGTTAGAGACAAGGAAAGAAGCCCCGAAAAGGTTGTCACACTGGGGGCAAACAACAGCAGAATTTGAACCCAGGTCCCCTAATCCCAAGTCCAACCCTCTACCCCACTATGCGCTTTGCAAAGTTGGACTTAAGGCAGCTTAATGAGTGAGCACAGCAGCCCCCTACAAAAACAAGCGCTGCAGGGAAAATCTGCTCCTTTCACTCACCATCTCAGAGCACTGTGTCCCAAACTCCTGTAAAAATTCCTCCACTGTCATTTCTCCTCTCATGAATCTCATCCAGGGCCCCTTATCCCCTCCAGTGACAAAGGCCTTGATGATTGTTCCGGAAGGGATGTGATTCTGCGCCTCCCACACTAGAGAAAGCAGAAGAGCCCCATGGGGCAACCTCGGTCAAAAATGTTGGGGACATCCAACTGTGTGGTTCTACCTAGAGCAGAGGCGGAGCAGCCGTGGCCAGGCATTCCAGGGAAGCTGGGGTCAAACAAAGCCATTCACAGTCCCATTCCTGCCTAGTATCACACAGGACCCTCACGGAGATGGTCAGGGACAAGGCCACTGAGTTCTGCTTCGTTCATACCCACTCATGACACCCTCCAGAAGTGAGGAAACTGCAGACATGCACAGCGACCAGCCCAGAGGCCACTCATCTAATAAGTCACTGGCCCTCTTACCCACACCCTTCAGCCTCAGTCCCCAGGAGTCTCCAGAAATATGATAGTCTAAAACTTAAGTTTGGATTCAATCAAAGGGCCACACTTGAGGACCTAGAGGGCCACATGTGGCCTAGAGGCTACAGGTTTCCCACCCCTCTGTCTAAAATGATCAATTTGACAACCAAAAAATGGTAGACAGTAACTAAGTCCAGGAGACATTCTGAGAGGGTTCTGGTCAGTGTCTGGTCATTCTTCCTTAGTCTACTTGTTTCTATCTGTATTATTTTCCATTTTCTGCAGCAATGATAGGATTTCAAGCTAGAAGGGATCCCAGGGACCATCTCACCCCACTCCCTCAGAGAAGTGACTTGGCCAAGGTCACACCAATGAACCCAGATCCTCCGACTCCAAATCTCAAGTTTCTTCTCTACCTTTCTGTATGCCTCTCGGCTTGTCATTCTTTACGGCTCCCCTCACCCCAATGACAGGAGGTGTTGTGAAGCAGCAGAAAGAACACCAAGTCTGGCATCAGAGGACCTGGGTTTGAATCCTGACTCAGCCCATGTGACTGTGGGAAGGTTCTGTGACCTCTCAGTTTCCAAAATGAGGAGGTTGCACTGGATGGCCTCTAGGGCCCATTCCTACTCTATGGCCCATGAGCAGTAACACCCCCTGCTGTCTTTATGGGGGCAGGTGGAGAACGAAGGAAACAACAGCCCAGATTTCCCTCCCCTCTAAAAGTCAGCTGCCCCCTTAGAAAGCACTGAGGCTGCCGGCTCATTAAAGAATATGGTGCCTGCCCCGGCCACTCCCAAAGGTGGCCCATCCTCCAGCTGAGGCCAGGAGCATGGGGGGCGGGGAATCACAAGAGCCAGACAGCAGGCCGGGTACCCTCTGGACAGTAGCACACATTGCTGTGGCTGCTCTAATGCATCAGGTCCTTTCACTATCCTCTGAGGCTTTTTCTCTTCTCCCAGTCCCGTAGGGACCAATGGGGCCTCCGTCTTTGTCTTAAAGCCCTTAGGATCGCATTGAGCGAGGCCCCCTGCAGTGGTGGGCGAGAAGGCCTGAGGAAGGACTCAATCTGTCTACTAATGAGTGTTGGTTAAGTGCCCAGTACCTATGCCAGGCGCTGTGTGAGGAAGGCCAGGGCTCAAGGGCCCCCTCTGACACAGGACAGCTCAAGCTGCCCCCTGCAAGTCACAGGGCACAGTGCGGGGCACATGGCAGGCGCTTAATAAATGCACAGACACAGATGTCTCAGTGCGCTGGGCAGCCCGTGGGGCTTTAAGCTGCAGAAAAGCTATCTGCTTGTATAGGTGGATGGAGTTTCTGCCTCAGAAGCTCCCTATACCAATGATATCACTGGCCTAGACTTTAAAAAAAAAAAGGAGGAGGTAGAGGTTTAAAAATAGTCCCTAAAGGTAGCTTTTTCACAGCAAACACTCCATTAAGAAGTGCTCCAAGGCAGCTGGCTACTGGCACAGAGCACTGGGCCTGAGGTCAGGAAGACCCGAGTTCAAATCCAACTTCAGACATTTACTAGCTTTGTGATGCTAGGCAAGTCACTTCATTGCTGTCTGCCTCAGTTTCCTCATCTGTAGAAAGGGGATGAGAATAGCACCTCCCTCCCAGGGTCGTTGTGAAGATCCTCTGAGATAATCATAGTAAAGTGCTTAGCTCAGTGTCTGGCACACAGCAGGTGCTACATAAGTGTTAGCTACTATTATGATTATTTGAAGTAGGCCCTCGGGGCTTTGGAATCAATTACATAAAACCAAAAAATGCACTTCCAGGATCCTAGCTCTCACAGCCTGATACACGTTAGAGGGAATCTACTGCAACCTGTTGGAGGAAGAAGGAGGAGCCCAGCTCGGGGAACCGGCCAGTCCTAGGTCTGCACACAGGCAGGCAGTGGAGGACGCATCCTAACTGCCAGACCGTGCTCTCTTTCCGCTGCACCCCACTGCCTGCCGCCTCTATCACGAGAGGATGGCCTTGGCAGCCGTCTCAACCTGTGTCCCCAGGGTCCTGGAAAGAGACATAACCTCGGAGAGCTCACCTGCAGCCACCTTGGATGGGGCAGGAATGAGAACCCCACCCATGTCAAATATCACAGCTTTGTAGGAGCCTCCCCCAGAGTGTTTCCATCGGAGCGGGTGCCAGGCCCAAATCTGGGACGGCTGCAGTCGGGCAGATTTCCAGGCCCACGGGACGGGAGTGCATCGGAAAAGCCTTAGGAAGCCCATGACGACACTCGACCTATTCTGGAGGGAGGGAGAGAGGCATAGTTTATCCGTCTTGGTCTGGCTGCCACCATATTGATGAGAAGACGTAGGCCTGAGGTAGAGTCTTCTAGCTGTCCCTCAGACCCTCCCCACAAGTCCCAAGTGGCCAGAGGATGATCCATCTCCCTCCTGGGCTCTACCCTGGGGCTTTCTTCAAGATGCAGCTCAAATTCCATCATCTGCAGAGGCTTTCCCAGTCCCTAGCCCAGCCTTTCCCAGCTGCTAGAGCCTTTCCCTCGGAGATGACCATCTATCCACTCCATGTGTCCCTCATGGGCAGAGACTGTTTCTGCCTTCACATACCCAGACTTAACAGTGCCTAGCACAGGCTTAATAAATTTCTTGTGGATTGACTTTACTATCTACTGTGCAGTGTGGAATCCCTCAGTTTACTTCTTATGAAACAGGGATAACAAGATCTCTTGCCTGTTCAATTTGCTTTGTATATAGTTTCTATTTATTCATCTATATTTTCTCAGTAGAATGTAAGGTCCTTGAGGGCAGGGACTGTCTCATTTTTGTCTTGAAATACAGAGGAGGCAGAAAAGGAAAGAAGAATGAAAAGGAATGCATTATTTGATTCAAGAAAACTATATTAATCAACCAATCAATAACAATAATTATACATAATAGCTAATATGTTATCTATATTATATATAATATACACTAGCTAATATCTGCTAGCTAACATTTATATAGTGCCTACTTATGTGCCAAGCACTGGGCCAAGTGCTGGGGATACAGCCCTTAAGGAGTTTATAGTCTATCACAGGTGACAACATATAAGACAACATAACCGCACAAGGACACACAAAACACATTCCACCTCTCCTGTGCCCGCCTGCCCTCCCCTTGTTCTTTATTCTCACCCTAGACCCCTCAGTTCTTTCTAAGCCATCTACCTTCACCCTAGTTACACTTTCCTCCCTTCTCATCTTGACTGCTTTGATGAACCAGTCCAACTGGCCATTATCTCCTCAAGTCCCTTGCCCCCTTATCAAATGGGTGATTTTGTCCTGCCAAGCCTCTGCCTGGCACTCCCACTAGCCAATGTCTTTGCTCCTACTCATGTGTGCCAAAGAGAGCTGAAGAAAATCCTGATGCCATGCTGATAGAGACTACTTCAAATGAATGTCACATGATCTCCCCTGGTCCCTCACTCCAGCAACACTTCCCTAACTAATTCCTTATACTGCTCACCCTGGTGGCTTTTCAAAACCTGCTCATCCCTTCTCCATCCTCCCCTGCCTCCCTCTCCTTATCCCCCTCACTTGAGAATCTTGCTCCTCATTGAAAAAAATAGACCATTGGTGGAGAGCTCCCTCTTCTCCCCTCCACCTCCTCATCTCAAGTCCCTCAGATGCCTTCCCCTACTCTCTCCTCCCTCCTTCACTCCTGTCTCCCAGGAAGGAGGGTCATTATGGTGGCCTGGGCAAACTAGCCTCCCTCTCTGCACAAGCAGGAGATGGTCCCCTCTGTCATTCGCACACTCACTAATCTGCTACTTCTCTGCTGTTTACAGACATACTCATGTCTCTTCTATCCTCAAAAACTCTGACTTGATCTCCCCATCGCTGCTAGCTGTCATCGTACACCTCTCTGATCTTTCATGGCTTAGCTCCTTGAGAAAACCACCTACAACCAGCACTTCCTTTCCTCTCCTCTTCTAAAAGCTCCGCAGAGACTTCCAACCTCGTCCCTCAACCTAGACTGCTCTTTCCAACCTCTTACTGGCCAGATCGATCCTTCTCGCCCTCTCTTCGGCCTTCAACACCACTGTTCCTTCTCTTCTCCTTCTCTAGGTTTTTGGGACATCATTCTCTTCTGGTTTCCCTCTTATCTTTCCGACCATCCTTTCTCAGCCCCCTTTACTGGCTCTCCTCCCTCACCACGGATGTCCTAGACCCTTTTCTCTTCTCCCTCTAGAGTGTCTCACTCAGTGCTCTCATCAGCTCGCAGATTCAATCATGATCTTTAACGTAAATTATTTTCACATTTTTATCCAGCTCTACCTACTCTCTTGAACTCAATTCTCCAACTGCCCACTGGACATCTTGAACCGAATGTCCCACAGACACCTGGAACTCAATATATCCAAAACTGAACTCATTAGCTTTTCCCCAAAACCCTCCCCTCCTCCTGACCTCCCCATTACTGTCAAGGGTACCAGCATCCTCTCAGTCACCCAGATTGGTAACCTAGGGGCCATCCTCCACAACTCACCCCGCCATATCCCCCATGTTGCCAGATCCTGCTTGTTCGGCCTTTTTTTTAGCACTTCTGGTATAACCCTGACTTCCCTCTGACATTGCCATTAGCCTGGCACACGCCCTCATCACCTCCCATATGGACTATTACAATAGCTGCTGGTTGATTTCCTCGCCTCAAATCTCTCCCCACTGCCATCCATTTTCCACTCTGCCGTCAAGTGTATCTGCCTTAAGTATAAGTCTGACCACGTCAGCCTTTTCATCAATAAACTGGCAGCTCCCCACTGTTGCTGTTTGCCCTTCGTTCTTGAAGAGGACCACGACAGCAGGGAGGTGATGCCGTGCCTTGCAAGTGAATTGGATTTAAGTGAGGAGGGCTGTGCAAAGTCACCAGCCTCACTCTCACCTCGGGAGCTATCTGGGTCCAACAGCAACATATCAAGATACAGATCAGGATGAGTGAAGATGGCCCCAGATCTCTATTACCTCCAGATAAGAAAAAGGAAAATCCCATTTGGTGTTTAAAGCTCTTCATCACCTGGCTTCCTGTCGACTTCACCTAGTGACCACAATATACTCTACCATCCAATATTGTGGCTGGGTGAGTGAAGAGAAGGGAAAATGACAAGATGTGGCAGGTGTCTGAATACGAGGGTGAGAGTGAGCAGTCAAAGATGGCTCTGAGCCTGGCTACTGAAAAGGAGATGGTGCCCTGATGGTAACAGTAAAGTCTGGAAGAGGAATGGGCTGGAGGGGAAGGACAGAGAACCGTTCAGGGAACACTGAGATGCCCATGAGACATCCAGCTCACAGGGCAGCGACTGATAAAGGTTTGTTGATTGTCCCAAGGTTGGCCCATGAAGAGTGGATTTCACTGGGTCGACTTATTTTTATACACAAAGGGGACTCTCTCCACCTAACACAGCCTATAATTCCTCCCCATTTTAGTGGGAGGAGTAAAAAAAAAAAAAAGCAATCCCATTTACTATCCCCGTTGGACAGCAAAGGAAACTGAGGCTGGGAGAGAAGTAGCCAGTGTGACATGAGGACTGATCAGCCTCTCTGTACCTGGCTAGGCTGGGTCTCAGGCAGCCCATTCTTAGCTTCCCAGGTCGGCAGAACCCACCAGACCTGGCCTAACCTTCTAAAGCTTGGAACTACCTCTGAGCCCAGATGAGGAGACAGAGGAAGGCTCTGCTATCCTGGCTTCTCTTATTAGACACTGGTAGAATTCCTCTTTCATAAAACATTCATGGCCATTCAATGCTTGGCAGGACGTGAAGGTAAGGAGACTCTGACCCCAGCTCTGGCACCAAACAGCTATGGTTTGGACAGGTCACTTCTCTCCAAGCCACAGTTTTACCAGCTGCCAAAATGAGATAGTGACTCGACGGCCCTACATGTCCCTTCCAGCGCAGATATTCTCTATTTATACCTTGGGCTTGGGAGTCAAGGAAGACAGCAAGAAGTTGTGGGAGAAGTCCTGGACTGGGGATTCAGGAAGAGTATCTCAGGCACCTAAGAGATACAGCGCCCCTATTCTGCAGATGAAGAAACTGAGCCTGAGAGAAGTCAAGTGACTCGCCCAGGGTCACATAGGTAGATCTGCCAGGCAGGATTGGAACTCCACCCTGCCCCAAGCTATTTACAAGCTATTTGACACTTACAAGCTATTTGAAACTCCTTGGACCTCAGTTTCCTGAGCTGTAAAAAACAGGGAATTGGATATCATGGCCTCTGAAGTCTTTTCCAGCACTGAATCTATGTTCCTTTGATCTGTGATGCTCAAAGCTAAAAGTTTGGGAGGCTCTTTGGGGCTCTGGAGAGCTAAAAGAATCTTCTTTCCACTCCTCATCAGGTAACTTAGGGCTTCCCAGGCCATCCCATGGAATGGAACAGTCCGTGCAATGTCCTCTCCCCCAGACTTGTCTCCATTCATGCAATCTCCCAAGCTTGGAAAGGGCACAGGATTTTGAGTCAGGAGACGCAGATGCAACAATTATTAGCTGTGCAGTCAAGGGCTGGTCACTTCTGATTCACCAGCCTCAGTCTTTTCTTTTTTTTTTGCGGGGTGGGGGTGGGGTTAGGCCACGGGGTTGAGCAACTTGCCCAGGTCACACAGCTAGTAAGTGTTATGTGTCTGAGGCCACATTTGAACTCAGGACCTTCGGAGTCCAGGGCCGGTGCTCTAGAGATCCACTGTGCCACCCAGCTGCCCCACCCAGCCTCAGTCTTCACAGCAGCAAAATGGGGATAATAGCCACACTTGTAGTATTTATTCTTGTGAATAAGAAGAGAGGATAGAGAGCACTTACAGCCTGTCCCCTCCAAATCCGCTGCCTGGAGCCTTCCCATCTCTGCTGAGGGCACTACTGCCTTCCCAATCACCTTGGAAACTCCTTCCTCACCTCCACGGCCAAGCAATGGTGGGGTCTGACGCCACATTTCTCTCATGGCCCTACCTGAGTTCCACCCCTCACCTGGACTATCCCAGGAGCCTCTTGGTTACCTCCCTGCCTCAAGTCCCCAAACCTAACACTCTCACCTCCACACCTCTGCACATGCTGGCTCCCCCACCCTCTCTACCTGGATGGATCTCGGAATGCTTAAGCTCCCAGGCTCAGCTCAGAGACTGCTTTCTCCGAAGTCTCTCCCGATCCCAGCTCTCTTCCTCCAGAACTAACCAAGCTGCTTATTTCCCTGAACACCTATTCCCCATAAGAAAGTCAGCTCCCTGAAGACATAAATGTCTACTATCATCATTACCGTTGCCTCAAGACACAACCCCGTGAAGCAGGCAGGAGGCATTGATTCTTATCCCCATTCTCCAGGTGAGGAAACTGAGGATCAGGGAAAGGAAGGAAGTCTGGCAGGTTTATGAAGCTCAGTGAGTGTGAGGGCAGGGAGAGGAATCACAGAATCTGGAGGTGAAGGAGATCTCACAGGCCCTGAAAGGGTCTGACCACTGGCCTTCCAGCCTTTGCTTGAAGACAGCCAGAGACAGGGAGCTCATTACCTCCCATGGCAGCGCTTTGGAGCAACTGTTACCATAGAGGTAAAGAGACTCACCCAGAGTCACCCAGCTAGAAAGCAGGATTTGAATCTGTGTCCTGCTTGACTCATAATCTAGTGAAAAGGGTCCTCAGAGACCTACAATGGGTCCAACAATGTTGCCTTGGCTTTTTGCATTCCTGCTATTCCCCAGAGCTTTGGACTTGGGGTCCCAAGACATGAGTTCAAATGGCGGCTCTGACGGTTATTAGTAAATCCCTCCTTCTCCAAGAAGCCTCTTCCCAAGCCCATTGCGCTCCTTCCCTCTGTAGACTGGGAGTTCTCTGAGGGTAGGGTCTGTCTCTGTCTTCCTTTGCACCCTTAGCCCTTAGCAGAGTGCCTGCCCCATGGGAGGCACTTCATGTTTATTGACTGACTTTATAACCTCGGGGCTAGTGACCTGGACTTTCTGGGCCTCAGTTTTCTCAACAGTTCAAACGGGCACAGTGACACGGGTAGTGACTGCCTCCTGAAATTACTGGGAGATCAGAGGGCTTTAAAAGGCACTTTGCAAACACCTCAGTCAGTGGAACGACCTGGGGACAGTTTCCGCGTCTTCTTTGTTTGCTCCAGGGCACACAGCAGGCACTAAGTGCCTGCTGCCTTGACTTGACTTAGACGCTTCCCTCCTCCAGGAAACTGGGGCAGAATAATGCCGTCCAAAGGCTGCTAGGACCTGAGGGCTCGAGGCAGGATTGGAACAGACAGCACGGTCCCAGGGTCAGCGCTCTAACGCCCATCTGGTCCAACTCCCTCATTTTGTGGGCAAGGAAACTGAGGCCCAGGAAGGTGACAGGAATGCTCAGGGTCACAGGAAGAAAGAGCCGAGGCAGGATTTGAACCCTGGTTCTCGGGCTCAAAAGCAAATGTTCTTTGTACTGGGCTACATGAGGTCCTGGGAAAGCAGCCCGAGCTATTCTCTCACCCGGCAGAGAAGAAAACTGAGATCTAGAAAGGACCAGGGACTGTTTTAAGTACAGGAGGAACGCCCCCAAACGAGACCCCGCTACCCCCCTTCCCATTTGGCCACGCCCCTCTCATGCTCTAGCCCCACCTCACTCTCCTCTGGCCACACCTCTCTCAAGCTCTAGCCCCGCCCCTGCCAGGCCAGTCCCCTAACGCCTCTAACTGCGGCCTCTTGGCGCGCGCCCCTGATTCCCCCCACCCCCCCCAAGCTCGCGAGAGGGGGAAGGAGGGGGGAGACTTCTCGGGAGCTGGGGCAGATGGAAAAGGGAGCGGAGGATAGAGCCGAGCTAGCTCACCTTCTCGGAGCGTTCTGCTCATGTGACCGCCCCGCCTCCGCCCCTGGCCCCGCCCCGCCCCGGTCACGTGCCCCTCGTCACGCCAGTGACAAGCGGACGGCGGCCGGGAGGCGGAAGTGTCGGGCTTCTGAGGTGAAGCGAGCGCCCGAGGGAGCGCGGGGCCGGCGGTATCAGCAGCGGCAGCTGGGGCCCCGGTAGCCTGCCAGCCAGCCAGCCAGCCCGCCCGCTCGTGTGGCGGTGGCCTGCGTATCTGCCCTTCCCCAACCGTCCGGGAAGGGGCCCGCATCGTCGCCCCCGGCCCGGCACGTCCCGTCCCCGCCTGGGCCCGTCGGGGCCCGCGCCGGGCTGCGCCTGCCCGCCCTATGAGTGTGTCACTGGTTGTGATCCGACTGGAGCTCGCGGACCACTCGCCCCTGCCCGCCGGCTTCGGCTTCAGCGCGGCCGCCGGTGAGTGCCCCGGGCAGGGACCCGGAGCGGCGCCCTCAGGGTGGGGGTTGGGGGGTGGGGCTGCCAGCCTGAACGGGGCCCTGCCCGGGAGGGGGGCGTTCCTCACGGGAGGGGAAGGGAAGGGTTGCCGGAGGGGGCCCAGGCCGTTGGGACGGGGGGGTGGGGAGGTGGTGGGAGTGGGGCTGCTGGCCTGACAGGGGAGGGGTTATCGGAGGGGGGGCTGCCTGAGGTTGGGGGATGGGAGTGGGTGGGCGGCGAGATTCCCCTGGCCTCTACCCGGAGAGGAGGAGGCCCCCTCGCCGTGAATCCTCCGCCCTCCCAGTTTCTCTGGCTGCTGTCCCCTCCCCCTCCTCCCCCACTCTGGGTCCCTGGGTAGCGCGTCCTCTCCAGGCTCCTCCCACAAACAAGTAGCGGAGGACCTCCTCCCCTTCCTAGTGTCCCCCTCCCCCTTCTCCCTCTCGTCTGCCTCCTCCTTTCTCCCCCCTCCCAAAGAGAGGCCTGTTGGCACGACCTCCGTCCTCTGAGGCTCAGCTGCAGCTGTGTGGACCCCCCTTCTGGGGAGTATAACACCCAACTACCGACTTTTCTAGGTTATTGGGAGGAAAGCACGTTTTAAGTAAGTCGTCGAGTGCTTTCAGGTGGCGAGGGGTTAATTGTGGCGGAGGAGTACAGGTAGAGAAACGTGACGCCAAGCCGTCCTCGGAGGAGTAGGACTGAGCAGTCCCCAAAGATAGGACGTTCGTGTCAGGCAAGGCAGGAAACCAGAGATAGGCACTTGACAGCCAGTTAGTCAGTAAACAAGTGACTGCTATGCGCCAGTCACCGTGCTAAGCACTGGGGATGCAAAAAGAGGCAAAAGAGAGGCGTCCTGTGCACGAGGAGCTCACAAATCTAATGCAGGAGACCACGTGCAAACACATGTATACAAAGCAAGCTATATACAGGATAAATAGGAAATAACTAATGGGGAGGGCTTCTTGTCAAAGGTGTTTGACGTTCCCATGGAGATCCAGTGTAGAAGGGCAGCTAGGTGGCGCAGTGGATAGAGCACTGGCGCTGAAGTCGGGAGGACCTGAGTTCAAGTGCAGCCTCGGGTCAAACACTTGATACTTACTAGCTGTGTGACCCTGGGCAAGTCGCTTAACCCCAATTGCCTAAAAAAACAAACAGAGATCCAATGGTAGAGTCCAAGAGAGACTTCCTGGGGGGGGGTAAGGTTATCTGGATACTAACATTGTGGATGACAATGTGCCCTAGAACATTATGAATGAGACCCATAACCTCTAAAGTTTAGCCTAGAAAAACTGAGTAGTTAAAGGATACTTGCTCTCTAGCCTGACACTCCCATAGTGCTTATTGGTCACTATATGTACCTTGGACAAATTTTGCAAGTGTATATTGAGATGAGCCCAGATTTAAGCAAAAAAGAGCAAGATAGAATACATTTGGGAAATGCCACGGTTCTTCGAAATGACCCCAAATTTTTGCCTGAAACAAAGGCACATACTTTTAATACCAACATCGTACCAGTGTTATGGCCAAGAATTGTGAATGATACAGTCTCTGAAGGATTACAAATGAATATTACTAAGAGGGAAGAGGAGAGAGCACCTGGTGTTTGTGAGCAGGTTGCAGTACTTGACAAAGAAGGAATTAGTAAGAACTGTGGTAATTTTTTTAAAAGAAGGTTATACACATGGATAATGTATGCTCTACTGGTATTTTTGAGAATATTGAGAGAAATCAAGAAAGGCTTCCAGCACTTCGGAAGACTTCTTGCTGCATACTTAGAGAAGGATAAGATTAGGAGTTGCACAGCTTCTAGGCATGGGCAGGTTGTGATCATCAGTGAAGGAACTACCCACATGATGGAGATCCTCACTCACTTGTAGTGTTATCTAGTTCAGTGTCTTCATTTCCATAACAAGGCAGTGTGAAATAGCAAAGGAACTTGGGCTAGGAGTCAGGAGCCTGGGGTTCTGGTTCAGAGTTCTTTTATTTCCCAGCCAAGGTAAGATAGGTAAAAGCTTAATCTTTCGAGCCTTGGTTTCTTCATTTAAAATAAGATTGTCTTACATGATATCTAAAGTCTCTTCCAACTCTTTGATCCTGTAATTGAAAATGGTAAAACATATATTTTACAGGATTATTTTGAGGATCCAGTGAGCTAAATATATATGATAGTGCTTTGAAAACTGTAACCATGTTATTTTAGTACAGAATATTTTTTATGGTGCGTTACATTACAAATTCAAACCTTGGCCTTAGTAAATAAAAAAAAACTTTAAAAAAAGTATAGCAGTTGACAGATGTTAACTTGGGGCTCAGCACAGCCTCCTTCAGGACTCCTTTTGTGGCTGGTTTCTTCTAGAAATTAATGTCATTAAAACAGACCTGCAGATGTTTATAGGTAATTAAATTCTCATCTCTTCCTCTTCTCCCTCTCCCTCTTTGTCCCAGGCTGGTAAAGAAAATGAAAAGGTAATTTCCTGACTTCTCTGATAATATAGACGCTACACAGTGACTGTGCTGTCCCTCAGATCTGCTTGTTTCTTTATTGGTATGAGGAGGAGTTTGTTTTGCCATCTGGACAGTCACTACAAGATGCTAATTAGTCATGTTTTACTTAGTTAGGGAAATGTCTGATGAAGAAATCAAAGAAAAGACACTAGCTTCAGCTAAGGTCCATTTAGAAGGAAAGGCACCAGTGGAGAAGGCAGCAATTATACACCAACATCTTGGCCGGCGAGAAATGACAGATATGATCATTGAAACCATAAAATCGAACACAAGTAAGTTTTAAAATGTCTTGAATCATTTATTAGATTGTTTTGTGCTTTTGGATAATTATTTCATACTGTGCAGTAAGCCTATTATTTCATTCTCTTATAAACCTTTACCATCATTTCCTGTGCTTAATATGCCGCAGGGAGGTAGGTCCTAATTTAATCTTATGTAAGTACTTTTTAAATGAATCCCAACAAATTAAGTTTGCCTTTATTGAAAGTAGTAGAGGAGATGCAGCTAGGTGGCACAGTGAATAGAGCTCCAGCCTTGGAGTCGGGAAGACCTGAGTTCAAATCTGGCCTCAGACATTTGACGTCTACTAGCTGTGTGACCCTGGGCAAGTCACTTAACCCCAATTGCCTAACCCAAAAAAAAAAAAGGAAAGAAAATAGTAGAGGAACTACCTCCTCTTAATTGAATGACAAATCAGCAGTCAGTCCAAATAAATCTGTTGTTCATTCCCATCATTTTGCTGACCTGCTCCATTCCCGAGGAATTGGATCAATATTGAAACTCAGATGGCCAAAACTGGTGGGTCTACTTTTCAAGCATATTAGCCTTGAGCATATGTATGAAATATCTTTGTACAAGCATATCCTGAAAAATGCAAAGTCCTTAGAAGTTATCAAAAGTGTTGATTTCATTTTTTGAGGGGCAAATAGAAATTACAGTTTGAAGTTAGGGTTCAATTTTTGCATACACATATATGATTATTTGGGTAGTTTGTTCAGATTGCAGTATGTTGAGTTTTCTCTGCCAAATGTGATCACTGAAATCACAAAATCTAACTAAGGCACGTTTCCTGAAAGGCCAAAAAATCTTGTAGGGGTGTGTGTATCTATATCTATCTATATATGTATGTATGTATGTATGTATGTAGTTATTAAAGGCCAAAAAATCTTGTAGGGAGATATAGATAGATAGATAGATCATCTTATGAAAGTGATTGGACCTGTGTGAAATTAGAATCTTTGAGCCCAATTATCCTCCTAATGCAGTTTGTAATCTTATAAAGTTTACCAGAACTTTTGATTTGTGAAAGGTGAGATGAAAGCTACAATGGAAGAAAGAAAGTCTTCAGAGGCATCATCCTCTCCTGAGAAAAGTAGAAATGGAGATCACAGTAAAGAAATTGCTCCAGATTCTCCCTCTAAGCAACTTCCGGACCAGATTTCATTCTTCAGTGGAAACCCATCAGTTGAAATAGTTCATGGCATAATGCACCTATATAAAACAAAGTAAGAAAAGCCTTCTTCCTTCTGAATTGGACAGGTGTGAGTGTGTGCCAGGCAGTCTTTTTTGCCTCTGAGGCAGGCTTGGATGGTGTGGGGGCTGGTTTCTGGGCTGGTGGCTGTAGTGACCAGAGATGGAACTTCAAGGTGATAACATTTCCTTAGTGCTGCCTCTGTGATGATTTTTTGTTTTATGACACTAAGGTTGGTTTGATGGATAGACCTGATGTTTTTCTTAATAGTAATAGTGGGGGTAGATACTTTGAAGGGAGAAGTTTGGGAAGAGTATTATTAACATTGATAGTAGAATTCCACAGAGAATCCCTAATCTCAATTTAGGCAGTTTTAGCTTCTTCTGTCATCAGACTTTTTAGCAAAGCTGCTGCAACAAGTTAATTAACTGATAAACATTTTGTTTACTTTTCCAACTCCCTCCTCTGGTGGAGTAACTCACAAGCAGGTCAGTGAAGTGACCCAAGGGCAAATTGCTTGTGAAAAAAAGGGATACATAGGTAAGATATTTAGAGCATCCACAAAGTGGATCATCAGCTCTTAATAACTGATAGTTGGCCCAGTGTGGAATAAAACCTCCTGGCTAGGTAGCCTATTGAATGACATCTTAATATTCTGGTGCGCCTGTCAGGATCCCACTGAGAGAAGCATGAAACTCAGTCAACTTTTCAATAATAACTATTTTGGTAAATAGTTTTTAGAAATTGGTTCATGGCAGCTAAGGTGAATTTGTACTGTTTCAAAGGTGAACTAAAATA